TTGCCTTTAGGTATTGTAATACACATGTTACTTCGTTTCAATATTTTTATCGGAACCTTGTGATTAGGTAGTACGACAACAAGCGATTTCGCTATCATGGTGCTGTGTAAATTAAAATTTATGTATTTTTTTCAAATTCTAAAAAAGAAATCGAATCTATTTTACCTTTAATCCTTCAAGGCTTCGTTACTTATTTGACGAATCAAAAAAAGAACGTTTATGTCTAATGTGTCTATATTACAGTTCGTCTTGAGCATACATGAATTTTTTCTAATGAACGTTTAGCAACTACGGAAGCCGATAAGGGTCATTCAAAAAAATTAATTTATGTCGTAATAACGACATATTATGTGGAAATAACGACATCGCTATGTCGTAATAACGACATATTATGTGGAAATAACGACATCCTGGATGTCGTTATAACGACATCTATATCATAATTACGACATCGCTATATCATCTATATCGACAACCTTAGAATTGCTACTTTGTGAGTGTGACCAGGTGGTATAAGGCATGGATGAATTGAATGCAGAACGTTCAAATACTTTATTATGTACTATAAAGAAGGCAACGACAGATCTGAAATATACAGATAATGACAAATAAATATAACTTTACAAATAAATGCATATAAATATATCATTTTGTAACAAATAATGTATATTATGTTTAATTACACTATTGCAAATAAATAATAATAATGCAAAACTAGTTAAATGACAACTCTGAAAGTAAACAATTTGTTAATTAATGCTAATGAAAACTGTTCACTAAAGTAAGTTGACCATACGTCTCAATAAAATACTATACAACATTGAAAGTTTATTACAGGTAAAAAAGAAAATATAAAGTTTGAAATACAATTAGCAAAGTAAATGAAACTAAATAAAATATTTAAGACAAAAACTTTTAACCATAGATTAATTTGAAAAACCCTTAAACTATAAATACCTTATAATGCTGGCTACGGCTCATAGTGTTGTTTCTGGTGTTACTTATTCTGCATTGACAATATAGTTAAAAATTACAGTATATATAGTCAAAAGGTGAACTGTCAAACTGGCCAGAACCAGATAAAACAACTATTAAGAAAAGTAATTTGTCCAATAGCCAGTGGTGAGTAAATATCAAAGAGCCTAGATAGAGTATTTGGATTCATTGAACCATATAATACAAATATATGTTCAATATAGTAAGATCATTATAATATAGAGTAAATAGATATAAACGAAGTACAAAGTTGGGAATAATATCAAATAGATAATTTTTATATAAATGAACTTGTCCACATACTCCCCAGCTAAGTATTAATCGTCTCGATAATGCAAATATTTATATCCACATACTCCCTTTACTATCATAATAATAACACAAAAATAAGACACAAACATGTAAATATGTACAACTAATGTCCTGAATGAATTTACTTAGACATAAATTTTGAATTTGGAAGTCTATTTGGATTTGTATGTTTCCCTGCAGTTGTTCTAGTTGTTCGTCTGGGTATAAACATATCATCTGAACTGTCTGAGTCACTGCTGTTATTATCCACAGATTGTTGTATATTACATTTAACGACATCACGACGATTCAAAGTTCTAGAAACACCAGCACCATCACTAGGTTCTACAGTAACAGTATTTTCTGACAAACGTACGACAAGGTAAACAGTTGAGCTCCAAGTGTCTTGTATTTTATTTCGTCCACGTACAACACGGTTTCTGATATAAACTTTATCACCGACACAAATTTCAGGATTAAAACGTTTCTGATCATGTACAGTTTTACGGTATTCAGCACTATCTTTTGTCTGCTCCCCAGCTTTTTCGTAAGCATATCGTAAACGATTCTGATGTGCAATAATCCATTCATCTAACGATTCATGAGTTTCATTAGTCTTATTTGTTCCAAGTAAAAAGTCAATTGGCAATTTAGGACTACGACCAAACATTAGATAATAAGGACTATAACCTGTTGTTGAGTTCTGTGACACATTGTACGAAAAGATAAGTTCCGGTAAATACTTTGGCCAATGTTTCTTTTTATCAGGAGAAAGTGATTTCAGAAGATTGTGTAGTGTTCTATTAAAGCGTTCACATTGTGCATTTCCTTCTGGATGATACGGTGTAGTTCGAGATCTATCAATTTGGTACAATTTACAAAGCTGACAAATAACATCAGATTCAAAATTCCGACCTTGATCGGAGTGTAGACGCTCTGGTACTCCATACACACAAAACCATTCAGTCAACAATACATGAGCAACAGTGTCTGCTTTCTGATCTTTCGTAGGTACTGCACGGGTAAATTTAGTAAAAATATCAGTCATAACAAGTACATTTTCTTTTCCATGTGCTGGTTCAAGTACAGTAAAATCAATTGCAAGTATTTGCAATGGCCTGTTAGCTATCAAATGTCCCATAGCTGGTCTTATAGCTGGTTGTGGCATTTTCGAAACAATACAACGTTCACATTTCTTACAATAATCCTTAATATGATTAAACATACCCGGCCAATAACATCTGATTCGAACATTAGTGAAAGTACGCTCAATTCCTTGATGTCCTAACTTATCATGACAGTTATCCAACACTTTGTTCCGTAACACGACAGGTAATATCAACTGTTTCAACTGACCATGATTCGGATCAATGATTACTCTATAAATCAAACCATCTTCAAGTTCAATGCGGTCCCACTGACGTAATAATGTAACCAACGGCTTATCAAATTTCCGTTGCTCCGATCTCAAAGGTTTACGTTTAGTGTTCCATATTTCAATAAATTTACCAACCACAGGATCTCGTTTTTGTAAATCCTTAATATCAAGTCTATCTAAAGAAGGTAAAGTTACAAAAGATTCCTCTGTATAAACTGATTTTGTTGGCACAGACTGTATATTTGATGCTAAGTCATTTGGTACAACAGTTCCTGCAGCAAATGTTTGAAGTAGATTTTTAACATCCTCAGATTTCGAAAGTTCAATTTTATCGTGCATACGTGATAAAGCATCAGCATTGTTGTTATGTTTGGCTTGTCTATATTTAACATCAAAATTAAAAACTGCTAATTTTGACAACCATCTTTGTTCATGTGCACTAAGTTTCGATGTTTGTAGATAACACAACGGATTATTGTCTGTATACACTGTAAATTTTGATCCAAGTAAATAATCTCTAAACTTTTCAGTAATTGCCCAAGTTAAAGCTAAGAGTTCTAATTTTCTGGAACTATAATTATCCATATTACGCTCATTTGGTCTTAAAGCACGACTAGCATACGCAACAACACGCAATTGTCCATCGACATATTGTGACAAAACAGCACCTAATCCTTGCATACTTGCATCAGTTTCTAAAATAAACGGTTCATCAAACTTTGCATAACTCAATACTGGAGCAGTTACTAAGTGTTCTTTCAGAGTATCGAAAGCAGTCTGACAATCACTAGTCCATTCCTTTCCAAATAATTTTCGTGGATGAGGGGTAAATTTCTGAGCTAATTTGTGTAAAGGTCCTGCAATCTTGCTGAATCCCTGTGTAAATCGACGGTAATCTCCTGCTAAACCTAAGAATGACTTTAACTTTTTAACTGTTGTAGGTATTTCAAAATCTTGAACTGCACTGATTTTATCTGGATCGGTTTGAATTCCTTCATCTGAAACAACGTGGCCCAAATAACGGACTTCTCGTTTAAAAAAATGACATTTCGAAGGTTTCAGTTTTAAACCATGTTCCCGTAATCTCTTGAAAACAACTTCTAAACGTTTCAAATGTTCTTCAATATTGGCGGAGTAGACAATAATATCATCTAAAAAGACTAACAAAATGTTAAAAATCTCATCTCGAAAACAATGCTGCATCAAACGTTGAAATGTTGCAGGTGCATTGCATAATCCGAAGGGCATTCGTAGATATTCGTAAAGTCCAAACGGTGTTGTAAAAGCAGTTTTCTCGATATCATCTTCATGCATCGCCACGACATTGTAACCGCTAGTTAAATCCATTGTTGAAAATAATTTAGCTCCACTCAAAGCATCAAACGATTCCTCAACACGAGGTAATGGGTAAGCATCTTTGTAAGACTTCTGGTTTATTTTTCTAAAGTCCACGCACATGCGCAGAGAATTGTCTTTTTTTCTTACTAGTACGATAGGTGAAGCGTAAGGACTTGTGCTTTCACGAATAATCTTGTTTTCAACTAACTTCTGTATATGTTGTTTGACTTCTTCATACTGGTTAGGCGGAATTCGTCTATACGGTTGAACAATCGGTTCATCATCTACTGTGCGAATTTTATGTTTTACAGTTGTTGTATATCCAACATCACTATCATTTTTCGAAAAAATATCACTATAGTTATAAAACAGTGTTTTTATTTGTTCTCTTTGCTTGGTTGTTGTTGATAAATGGCTAATATCTACAGGCATTTCAAAATCTTCTAACTTTGACAATTTCACATCAGTTTCTGCACAATACGCAATATCATGAATATAAATTTCATCTGTATGTCCAGTTCGTATAAATTCAACATGTCCTCTATCATGGTTTTCTACATCACCTTTCAATAAAATACCAACTCTAGTTCTTGGAGCAAGCCATATATCATCATCTCCAATATTAGCAACTCTAAAAGTTAAACGTCCATTTCGAACAGTAACAAACGTATGTACAACAATAAAAGTAGAAGGTAAGTGTCCACTAGTGTGTAAAGGTTCAACAACAGCATCATACAATCTCGGTAAATTCGGCCCAGTTCCATTTAAAATAGTCACAGAATTTGCAGGAATACGAACTGGTGAATTCGAGCAAAGTTTAATAAATCCAATAGTATTACAATGTTCATTTTTGTCACAAGCTTTAAAAAGTTCTCTAAGTTTAAAATTTTCTGCTATTTCGGTAACTTCTTCTGGATACTGGTTCCCATAATCTTGTTGCAAAAGTTTTTTACATAAGCTAATAACGTTCATTCCCAAAAGTCCAGGGACATTTTCTTTTCTCATACTGGTATAACTGTCAATAGGATCCTTCACAATCAAAACACCTCTGTTTGGCAAACGTTGCCCCATAATGTCAATATCTACTTCAACATATCCTATATACGGTATACAAATTCCATTTGCCCCTTTCAGATTAAACGTAATATCAGTTTGTAGCTCCGTACACCTCCTCAGAAAACGGTTATAAAACGACTCTGTAACTGTTGTAACAGTTGACCCAGTATCTACTAGACAGTTAACTTTAAATCCTGCAAAGTAAGCACTAACTGTTGGACATTTACCCACTAAACGATCAGTTTGTATTGAGTCCATATGATTATCATCTACAATGGGACTCTTCACGGCAGACGCTACTCGTTTCCCGACTTCTTTGAATTAACAACTGGACAGTCTACAATCTTGTGACCTGGCTTATTACATCCAAAACATAACAAAGTACGTCGTTGTGGTTCGAACCTATTGTATCTACTGTTATAATTTGTCGACTGTTGCTTTGAATTCATGATCTTCGTTAATGTTTCAATTTGTTCACTTTGTTTCTGGACAATACCCAATAACTGGTTGAATTTTTCGGATTGTTCACTACTACTGTCAGTTTTATCCTTACTAGCGCACACATCAGCTGTAGGTTCTTCTGGTACAGTATCAGTTGTTTCACTTTTCGTCTTTGTGTTATATCTTTTATCTTTATATTCTTCCTCCTCGGACCACATAATAGCTTCTTCACGTAGATCCAAAAACGGCATATGAGGTTGTGCACGAACTATTTGTTTCAGATGCTTTCTTAAGAAACTGTCTTGTACATTTTGTGAAAATTGGTCGCATAATGTTTTCTCTTTATTAGGCATCCAAGTAGAATCTTTAATTGTAATTTTACTCATTAAATCCATTAACACATATGAATATTCTCTGAGCGATTCATTTGGCTTTTGCACACGATCCAAAAAATTCTTCTGTAGTTTGGTAATATTATCCTTTACACCAAAGGCATCTTGTAAAATTTCTAAAATTTGATCTGGACTTTGTCGTACTAGATGAGAACGATATTTCACTTCATCTTTAGCAGAACCTTCAAGTTGTAAATATATAAAATCCGCTCGTTCTTGACGGGACATCTCACGTGAATGTAGCACAGTATTAACATCTTCAATCCAATCTTCAACTGGAAAATTATACCCGGAAAACTTCGGAACCTTTCTATCTTTCTGTACATATACAACATTCTTTTCATTCGGTGCTTTTTTCACTTCATTTTCACCACCAGATTTCCAAGACATTTCTTTAATACTATTCTGTAATTCATTCACTTGCTTTTGTAAAGACTTACAAGTAGGATGACTTGCCATTATGAACTTTCAAAACTATTGAAAATTATAAAAAATACAAAAATTGCAAAAATACACAATATATAACTTCAACTCTATATTCACAAAAAGTGAATAAATGCACAACTATAATCCAGTATGAATAAAACACATAATCCAAAATGAAAAAAAAATTTACACATTTCAACATATATCACAATATCTCTCAATATCACATATATTCCAAATACAGAAAACAGTTACTTCATCGGTCCTCATTGGTACACGGTTTCGGCACTGTTATACATCTTCGTTAGTGTTCGCCTTTCAATCTCCGACAATGTTCGGTTAAGTCCGTATATATTCCAATAACACAAATAATCTCCGTCACTGGTCGGCTCCTTCCGTGGATTTCCGATCTGGTAGAAACTCCGTCAAAGTTCGGTCATCTCCGTGGATAGCCCGATGACACACACACATCAACTTCGTAAATGTTCGGCTTCCTCCGTAGATACCCCGCTCAGCCGTCTGATGGAATGTCAGCAATCATTGCCTTCTGGTTTGTCGACGACGCCATATGTGACCAGGTGGTATAAGGCATGGATGAATTGAATGCAGAACGTTCAAATACTTTATTATGTACTATAAAGAAGGCAACGACAGATCTGAAATATACAGATAATGACAAATAAATATAACTTTACAAATAAATGCATATAAATATATCATTTTGTAACAAATAATGTATATTATGTTTAATTACACTATTGCAAATAAATAATAATAATGCAAAACTAGTTAAATGACAACTCTGAAAGTAAACAATTTGTTAATTAATGCTAATGAAAACTGTTCACTAAAGTAAGTTGACCATACGTCTCAATAAAATACTATACAACATTGAAAGTTTATTACAGGTAAAAAAGAAAATATAAAGTTTGAAATACAATTAGCAAAGTAAATGAAACTAAATAAAATATTTAAGACAAAAACTTTTAACCATAGATTAATTTGAAAAACCCTTAAACTATAAATACCTTATAATGCTGGCTACGGCTCATAGTGTTGTTTCTGGTGTTACTTATTCTGCATTGACAATATAGTTAAAAATTACAGTATATATAGTCAAAAGGTGAACTGTCAAACTGGCCAGAACCAGATAAAACAACTATTAAGAAAAGTAATTTGTCCAATAGCCAGTGGTGAGTAAATATCAAAGAGCCTAGATAGAGTATTTGGATTCATTGAACCATATAATACAAATATATGTTCAATATAGTAAGATCATTATAATATAGAGTAAATAGATATAAACGAAGTACAAAGTTGGGAATAATATCAAATAGATAATTTTTATATAAATGAACTTGTCCACATGAGCATTGACACACTATGGGAAACAACATTTGCAACTTTATTTTAAGAACCGATTATCAGAATTGAATCAAACTTGATATACGTGTGCACTATAAGGTCCTATTCAAGTGTTGCTTCTTAGTTACCCATTGGTTAAAACACATGACCGCCAAGGGACTTTGAAAAAATCAAGTTCAAAATCTTCTTCTCAAGATCGCTGAAATGACTGATTTTAAACTTAGTATAAATATACAATGTGTACCTAGTATCCAGGTCCTTAAAAAGAGTTTTTACGTTTTGAGCTGATCCGAAGTTAAAAATGGCCACCAGTGAGGGCAAAGTTTGTATCAAAACCCTATCGTAAACATATTCATTTTTGAGAATGATAACCACTGAATTTAATCAAGCTTAATTAATATTAAAGTTAGTTACTCCATATGTCTGCACATAATAGAACTTTATTTCATGATCGAGTCTAATAGGACCCATTGAAATGGTGAACGATTCAGGCTCCTTGGAGCCTCTATTTATATTTGGCATGTATGTATGTAGATCACATCAAGAAGAATTGTTTAGTACCCGAAGGAATATGTGTGCTATTGCAATCGCTTGTCGTCCGTCGTCGTCTGTAGTTACCGTTAAACTTTTAGATATTAAAGATTACAAAAATCACAAAATGTTGATAAAAGTTTAGCCGCCGTCGCCAAAAAATCATTGTCAATTCCTTTGTTTTGTTATTTTTGACGTTCATCGCAGGCGAGGCAAAAATCTGTTATTTCGCTATGTGGTATATTTGTATAGTATTGTGGAAATAATTGCATAAAGTTCGAGATTGCATGTGAGTTACGTAAGCGCGTAACTGTTTTTTATATCCTGTGGTGTTTGTCGTTGATGAAATATGTTCATTGTTGTTCTCCAGTTTAAAATGTTTTGCGACTATTACTACACTGTAGTATATTATTTGTTTGTGCGTTTCTCTGTGATGAATGTTCTTGCGTGTGTTTGATCTGTATTTCTGTCACGTAGTGTTATCATTTCAGCGACATTTTTAACATTGTCATAAAGCGGGAGGTTTGGCTAGCCATTAAATCAAGTTCAACCCTACATTTGTTCTTAAAATGTCCTGTTCCAATTCAGGAATATGACAGTTGCTATCAAATAGTTCGATCTATGTATGTTAAGGGTTTATTTTTGTTCACTTTAGTGTTCCTGTTGTTCGTTTATTTTCCTCTTACAGTTGATGTGTTTCCCTTGGTTTTAGTTTGTAACCCGGATTTGTTTTCTCTCAATCGATTTATGACCTTTGAACACCGGTTTACTACTGTTGCCTTTATTTAGTAACAGTGTCCATGCTGTTGGTTGCCGGTTAAAATCGACGGACTTCAAGTGATGACAATACATGTAGCTATCCCAAAATTTTTTTTAGAGGACACAACTCAGGTATGGGTCAAACTGATCTTTCTGAAATCTTCGGCATAGGTCCATTTTGTCATGATGAACCCTCAACAGATTTGAGATAAATGTAACGATATTCGAGACATTATCAAAAAACTAATGTGTGACCATTATGTCCTATTTTTTCAAGTTAATAACAGCGGCTGTGTTTTTAAGGAGTCGAAAATAAAAGCACGCCTTTTGTGAAGGAAACATTTAACAAGGAAAAATCAAACTAACTTTTAAAGAATTTTGCACATTAGTTTCAAAGGAGATTTTTAAAACACGCTTACGACAGACGACGACGGACAACAAACGATGGCAATCGCTCGCATACCACTTCGAGTACGAGACACAACTTCCTTAGGTGATATGTGAAGGTCAGGGGACCCATTAGGCTCGATTATTAGGGGTCCAAAGTTTAACATAGGCCCCAATGGAAAAAGCTTTGAAAATCTTCTCCTTAAGAACTACCAGGCCATATTGGATCAATCTTAGAGAATGGATGATCCTTATATGATGAGGATTAAATATATAAAAAGAAGATGTGGTATGATTGCCACAAGAAACCAAATGACACAGAAATTAACAACTATAGGTCACCGTACAGCCTTCAACAATGAGCAAAGCCCATACCACATAGTCAAATATAAAAGGCTTCGAAATAACAAATGTAAAACAGTTCAAACGAGAAAACTAACGGCCTAATTTATGTACAAAAAATAAACGAAAAACAAATATGTAACACATCAACAAGAAACAACCACTGAATTACAGGCTCCTGACTTGGGACATCCTGGGGATCGTTGGTTTAAAGAACTTTGGGTCCAAAGTTTAATACAGGCTTCAATGGGGAGGACGCTGTAAGAATCTCATTAAGAACTAACAGTAGTAATGCAGTTATAATTTGCATCAAGCATCAGTAGGCCATTAAGATGCAATTGTGTACAAATGAAGGTACATAGGTCCATGGGTCTGAGCACTAGGAGTCCAAAGTTTAACATAGTCTTTATTTGGAAAAGCTTAAAATTCATCTTCTTCAGAATCTGCAATGGAAATGCAGTCATATTTTACACGAATCTGTACATGCCAAACATAACTAGAGGCTCCAAGGAGCCTGAATTGCTCCCCTGTTTAACTGGGTCTCATTTGACTTGATTTTAAAATAAAGTTCTAGTATGTGCAAGTAAATAACTTTGATTAAGCTTGATTGCATTTAGTGTTCATTATTCTCCAAAAAAAGATGAATTTGTTTACGCTACAAACTTTGCCCTCACTGACGACCATTTTGAATTTTCTATCGCCTCAAAAAGTGACAACGCTAAGGTTGTCGTAATTATGACATAGCGTTCAGGAGCCTGTAATTCAGTGGTTGTCGTTTGTTGCTGTGTTACATATTTGTTTTTGTTCATTTTTTTGTACATTAATAAAGCCGTTAGATTTCTCGTTTGAATTAAATTGTTAAACATTGTTCATTTCGGGGCCTTTTAGTCTCTTGGCAATCATAAAACATACTATTTGTTTATATATATAACGATGTCGTTATAACGACATAAAGATGTCGTTATAACGACATAGCGATGTCGTTATTACGACATAGTGATGTCGTTATTACGACATGCTATGTCAAAATTACGACATAGTTATGTCGTTATTACATTCTATGTCGTAATTACGACATAAATTTTTTTTTTCGAATGACCCTTATCGGCTTCCGTAAGCAACCAACAATCAATCAATTTAAGTTTAGAGAAAACAAGTTTTTATATTCTGACTGTTTTTCACTACTATTTCTTTGATTTGGAAAAGTAAAAACTTGATAACAAGGCTAATTACTGACAGAAAGATAAGAAAGAAGTATATCTTTTTTTTATAATTCTCTCTGTACGAGAAACTAAGCTCCTATACATACATAGTTCAACATGCATTTTCATTGGCCTAATATTGATTTCTTTCGAATATAAAAGTCGTAATTATGTCCTTGACAACACAAATCTTTCCTAAATGACGTTTTGGTAATGCTAACGTCCACGTGAAATATACTGCTGGGCGTAAATTTCAAAGCAAATGTTTCTTTCGTAAAATAGTTCAAATTTATTATCGTATTACGTTTTGACATACGGTTGGAAAAGCCACACGACAATGTCGCATTAAGATAATACTGAGACGTACTTTAGCGCCAAAGAGGGAAACGGGATCTCCAGCATTTTTTTAAACACATATAAACGTTTTATTCCTAAATATTTCCTGTATACAATTACCTTAGTCGTCCAGGTAACAGACTAAGGGTCCCTGTTTACAAAATGAGCCATCTATCCAGGGGTAATATAAGGCCAAAAATGCAGTCCACTTTTTACCTTGTATTTACAATTAGTTCCAAAAATATATTTACATGGTGTTAGAAGCATCTAACTCTATACCTGAACTTTAACATAGTAATTAATAAGATACCCATACAAAAGATGTGCATTGAACGCAACACACATAAGGCTAACACTTTTATATCATTTTTATATATATGCATATATTAATAAGATCTATAGTCTTATATAATAAACCATAAAAAACTTCCTTTAAAGCTTATATTATATTTTTTTGTCTAAATTTTCATAATCACTGTCTTCAATTTTGTGTTATCGATGATGTCTATGCTTTTTAATTGAACTTTTCAGATTCTAAAGGACTATGGGTAATTTTATTGTTTGTACCCCAAAATGAAAATAACGTCACGTCATTGGTTAGATTTTCATTGTTTATGACTTCTTTAACCAATCACGACGTCTTGGTGTACATTTTTGAAAATATTACCCAGAATGCAGTAGATTCTGAACCGGCGAATTGAAGAACAAATTTCAAATTAATTTTGAAGTTGTATTTCTAAATACTATAAATATCTTGTGGTGCTATAGACGTTTTGTTGTATTTTATTGAATTCCTGATTTTCCAGAGAGTCCATTTAGAATAAGAAATAATTGTGTTTAGAAAATTGTCATATTTGAATATTCCTGTGTTTATTCCTAATATTATGTCCTTTTCAACAATAGGATTATTTATTCCTATGTTTGATTGGATAAGTATTTCGTGAAGCTTGTTTACAATTAACTTTGATGTAGTACAACTAAAAAATAAGTGTTGCAGGGTTTCTATGCTGTTGTCATTTTGACAAATATGGCAGTTTCCATTTGATAGTTTCATTTTTTGTAATCTACATTCAGTATATAAAATAGTGTGCATTGATCTCCATTGAAATTCTTTTACTTTATTTTCAATTATCATTTGTTTTAATCCCGACCACAAATTTTCCCAAAGTAAATTGTTTCAAAATATTTCCTCCCACTTCATTTGACATTTAAAGTTTTAACTTTGAAGGTTTTATTATTTGGTCAAGTTCACAATCTCAAGGTCATTTGATATCTTTTCATTTCATTATGCAGATTCTGGTTTCCGCAAGATTTCAAAATTTGCACGAAATCTTTATGAATTGCCTATTTAATTCTAGAAAATTCGGAAATTCAATTTCTCCGATCAATGAGCTTCCTATAAATTTCATTGCAGCTGTATTTTCTGAATTCCAAAATGTCACATTTATTCTCACCGTTTTCTGTTTTTACACCGTGGCGTTTCCATAATTTGTTCTGCCCATTTTTCTTTTCAAAATTGAAAAAGTATTTAGTTGACTTTTCCCCCATCTTCAGCCCATTTCGTTCGTGATCTTATTTTTGCAGACATAGTCTTATTTGTATAATATTCCTTAATCTTATTTTTTATTTCTAAAATTTTGTCAGGCGAAGTATTTGATTCATTCGATTGAAGTTCTAATTTTTCAAGTTGTTTTCCAAAAGATATATTTTTGCTTTGATAAACGGTTTAATTTTTGACTAATTTCTATATAGTCAAACATTTAATTTTTTGATTTTGTTACATCCCACCATTCTTGAATGCTATTGAATCGATCTTTACTTGTTACCCAATTTTCCCAAAACATTTTAAATGCATTTGAAAATTCATTTGTCTTAATTGTATTTAGATTCATGATCCACAATCCCGGTCCTCTAATTTAGTTTTTGAAGTAACTATGTCATGATCACTAAAAGTAAATATACGCGTATTTGAAATTTTGCAGCTTAGAGATTTCGTACAAAAAATATAATCTATTCGTGATTTTGATTTACCTCTTTGAAAACTATACCTTCTATTTGTTGGAAATTAAGATCTCGATATATCATCTAATTCAAATTTCAAAAGACTCTTTAGTTCCTTTAAACCTGCATCCTCATTTTGATGCGAAGGGGCCTTATCTAGTTTTCTGTCTAACGCACAATTGAAATTCTCTAAGAAGACATTATATTGATCTCCAGCATTTAGAAAAGTAAGTTTTTGTTTTTATCTAAAAAATAAGCACACGGACCTCAATTGTTTTCTTTTGTAATCAATTGTGTACTGCTTCAAGTAAGTTGTATCAAAATTGAAAGGAAAAAAAACAATTGTAGATTTTTTTTCTGTATGCATTTGTAGTGACATCGAGGATAGAACTTGTTTCATTGGCAATCATACCACGTCTCTTAATTTTATATAGACTTTTTATTGTGTCAGCCTGTGTTTTTCAATTAATTTTTCAGTGTTTTGCTGATTATCGTTCTCCATTGCCTTTCCTTGTGTGACGCTTTTTTCAGTGTTTTCGTACCAATTTTTTTCTGTAATTCTCTCCTCCATGTTTTTTAAATGTTATATTTCCAAAAACTACAGGTCAATTACATCATTTTTATGTAGAACATAATTCAAGAGATAGTAATAATATTGTTTGTTTGAATAATGTTTTCACCTGGCAGCCCATTTGTACAACTCAAACGACAAAGATTCAAACAGTCATACATTTACTGTTTATAAAATCATTGACATTCAACAAATAATACAAAAAAAAGTAAAAATTTCAAGCCTCCTTTCAATGTAAAATTTAAAACTTAACAAACGTTTCTTATATATGGTAAAAGTATTATCATAATATCACAAATATCACAAGATCACGAATAAAGCAAATAATGTAAAAGGCAATAAAGTATAAAAAGAAAACATTCGGCAAGACGCATGTGATAAAATGGTCAGTTTTCCATTTAGACCTCCAACATACAATTTATTTGGATCAGGAATATGTTTTTGATTTTCTGGAGATGACGTTTGTGAATTTGAGCTTGTCATTTTTATGAGTTCATTTGGAGTTGATACTGTATCCATCCCCACAGTATGCTGAAAGATTGGTTTCGGTGTCGTAGAGGATATCGTGGAGGAATTTTGCTTCTTAATTGTTGTTTTCTCAGAAGGTGAAACGGAAGGTTTGGGTTTACTTGTTGTCTTTTGCGATGTTTTCTGCGGAGGTGAATCGGAAGGTATTGGTTTAGATGTTGTTTTCTGTGGAGGAGTTGGTGAGTCGGAAGATATTGGTTTTGATGTTTTTTTCTGCGGAGGAGTTGGTTTAGATGTTGTTTTCTGCGGAGGACTTGGTGAATCAGAAGGAATTGGTTTAGATGTTGTTTTCTGCGGAGGACTTGGTGAATCAGAAGGAATTGGTTTAGATGTTGTCATCTGCGACGTTTTCTGTGATTTAGTTTGCTCTATTGTTGGTAAAGTAACAGAAGACACTTTGGTTGATGTTTTGACAGTTCCAGTCGACCATACAGGAACCTTAGAAGCGACCATACTTGAAGTTGATGGAGACTTTGTTGTAACTGAAATTCAGAAGACAAATACATCATTATTATTTTTCATCTACATTTTTTATCTAAAATTATTTTCCATTGATTTTGTTTTAAATACATGTATTAATAATAAAAAAATACAAGCTTCTAATCTGACATCTCTGCTGCACACTATGTCATGTGCGGTTTGTATGCGTGTATGAAGTAACAAACATATACAGAATTCAAATCGCAAATAAAGAGGCAACATAATTTCCCCTGTGTCATACTAATTTACAGAGTAAACATGAAAACTTTGTTGAAATTAAGGCGACAGTAGTTTACCGATGTTCAAATCTAGAAAAATGATTAGGAAGGCAGAGATCAAGGTAACAAACAAAAAAACTGAGGTCGCATGGACCGCTCTTAAAGGAGGGAGCGAGACCAGGTGCGACGACAGGGTGAGCGGCTCCCAACCCATTTATGCACACACCACCCACCATGCGAATTCACACTTAAAACCTACTTGATTTTTTAATATCTGAAAAACTAAACTTAGTAATATTCTTAAAACTTTTTTTCATATAACTTCATTAAATTAAAACATTTTTGTAAATTTTACACCGAATAATATATTACACCAAACTATACATAACTTTAGTTCAAATATGATTTTTGTTTTGATTAATAATGTCATTCAAATATATTTTTGGAACGATAGTATAAATTTGACAAAATGCAGTTTGGAGCTATCTTAAGACTTTCATCAGAATTATTGTTATGTTTAGAAATGAGTCATACTATTGTTAGAACCTTTAATATTGATTTATTGATTGCTGGTGTTTTAACGCCACTTTCAGCTCAATTGGCTACATCATGGCGATCAGTTTTTATTGGTGAAGAAAGCAGGAGTGCCCTGATAGAACCACCAACCTTCGGCAGGAAAACTGACGATCATCAATTAAGATTTGAGTCGAACGCACCTGCCATTTGCGGGTTTCGAAATCCCAACCTCTGCAGTGTTGACTGGCTAGTGATGCATTAGTTGAACTACTTAGATCACTCTACCACCGAGGCCTCCAGAACCTCTAATAGTATATTCATGAATCTGTGATATAGTAAACTTAAGTAAAGATTGAAAGACGTTTTGAAAATTAGATTGACGTGTTTAGACTTTAGGTATTTATCATACTTGGCTTTCAAATTTTTGGATTTCAGCATTCCTGATGGATGTTAATCCAGAAAGGCACTTCGAACGCACGGAATTTATTAAGTGTTGTTTTCATTCAGGTGAAATTGGATCATCTTTCTTATCTGTCATAAATCGAGAGTTCCTAAATATAACGAGCGAGTCACTGATAATATCGTATTATGAATTTATTAACCGTTAAGAATTAATTGTGTTACAAATAACCACGGCTATTCTTGCATTTGTCGTCCTTTCCGTATTTTCATATAATCGTTTATTTTGACAGACACTCTTGAAGCAACCTTTTACAAAACGCAAATCTTTAAAAAAATTTATATGTAATTAGATCGTGGCAAATCTTTCGTTAAATATGTAAACACTTTTGAAACATTTATTTATCTCACCTAAATTGACTTCCCATCCATCACCCCTATCAATCACAACACCATCTCCATGTTGAATAAAGTTCAATGGCGGACTAACCACACGATAGATTTCTCTAGAATCAACGTCTCGTTTTCGCCTTTTTCCTGTACTTGTACTATTACAACTTCGATCACATTCAGCATTTTTCTCAGATACAAGACATACAAAGGCGTCACACTGGATCACAACGTTACTAAAGGCAACAAACTTAAATGTTTGATAGCGGAATCCAAATGAAGTGGAGTTCAAAGGGAAGAAACCTAGTGTTGGGTCTTTTTGACATCTGCAAATAACATAATGTTTAATCATTTCTGCTTTCAAAAATGGAATGCATCATTTGTATTATTGATAAAATATAGGCACATGCGGTGTCGATCTAGGCATTTGCCTTAAGGAGGTGTGACTCGTAAACTTTGTCGCCATTAATTGTAACAAAAAAAAATAGCATTTTGTTCCACCTTTCAATAATTGTTTCCCTCATTTCTTCCCCCTTACATGTTTCTTGTATCTCTTGAAAGTATTAAAACATTTTCCAATTAGCATATGAATCAGTAACGTTCAGTCCAGTATATGTATTCGAATAAAGAATAATAAAAATACCTTGCAGTTCCTTTGTTATGAAAGGTGTCATTATGACAAACTAGTATGATACTTTCAGGTTGAACATACTATGGGTTCATTTACTTTCGCGGATTGAGTAAAAATTGTGTTTTCATGGATATTTCATTTCATTCTTCGTACTAGCTTCGTTGATCATTTAAATTTGTTGATTTCCTTTACCAACGATATTCATGATAATTGATATCCCACGAAGATTAATGAATCCACAGTATTTTGTTTATATTGACATGGCCTGTAGAAGTGTATATATTACTGTTAACGTTAACTTCTTTTGTCATTGGATAATAGTTATCCTTTTTTAATAGTATTTTCGATATAACTAATAATAAAAAATCTGTATTCCGTCTATTCTCTTGACTTGCTAATATTCTAATTTTGTCGTTAAATCAAACTTACTTTTGGCTAAATAAATTGAAAAATGTCGGATCATTTGGATCGTTGGTAGGAGTTGCTTTACAGTCTGGTACTACAAGCTTTAAGTTGGGGTCTATGGATTCCAGAGTTAGCGCAACATTCAACCATTCTCCAAGTGTCATTTGAACAGACCCATTCAATGCAGTAATGAAAGAATCATTGTAAAATGACATTGATATAGTGAATGTACCAGGTGCCTTCTGGGTAACAGTCTCAGTAAGTGGAGTAACTCCCTTGTCTGTGTCGAGATCACGTGGGAACTCACAACTAACCTCAATTCTGTATGTGTTGACACGGACAATCTGATTTGCGATGACTGTGTAGTCGTATTTTATTGAGTTTGTATAAATGATATGAGATGTATTCACCTGTTAGAATAGAAGACTTTTAATGAAACATTTCTAAGAATATATAGTTATACTGTGTATCAGGAATCATTCATCTTGGATAAGTATGGTGTTGCACATTACACATAAGATCTAAAATAACAAACACATATTAAAATATCGCTGCTGTAAATCGTTACATAGGGATGAAGGGTGCCTGAAAACGCCTTTAGGATTATTTTAGGGAATCAAGAAATGGGAAGTTTTGCACTATTAAAGATCGCCAATACATGTTTTCTTTTGTAACACACAAAACTGATCTTTAAATGCGAGTTTAAAAGCAGGGCGATAAAACTATTGTAACTATAAGATGATAAAACTTATCCAAATTCTGTCCCATACGCTATTTTCGTTATTTTGCAAAAAAATGAAATAAAATTTAAATTTAATTTTTTGTACTGTGTATTTTACTTTCAATTATATTAAACATTGCCATTAAATACGACAAATAATATATCACCAAAAATATATTACCGACTAAAAACAAAGCCATCGTGAAATAATACAGAAAAAAAATGTATGACGTCGATTCATAAAGGATTCAGTGATTTCTTTGTACCATATACTGCGAGGTTACGATAAAATGTATTCAAAACAGAAAATAAATAATCATTTGAAAAGAGTGGAATCTGTTCAATATTTGGTGATTTTTATGAATCACTAAATTACGGTTAACAATACATTAAGTCATAGTACTGAAATTTCAAATTGCATGCCCAAATCCCAATAATAAAATGTATCCCCCGATTTCCCAAAATTCTTATTTTGTCACCCTTCTGGTAATTTGATAGGAGATGGCTTTATCTGCTCATTTGAAAGTAATAATAGAAAATGTATTACTGTAAATTTGGAAGAAATTACAGAAAAAGTATTGTTTGTTCATTTTGAGGTAGTTACTAACATTGACCTTTTTTTTTACTAAACTAAAACATAATTATTTATGCATGGCTAAACAGTTATGGACACTTCGGTCCTACATCATGTCGATACTTGAAATTTTAGTCTCGGAAAACATGGTTTACTTATAAGTTGGAATTGGCTTTGAACTACCTTTCAATAACTGCTGATACTGTTAGATGATTCTTGTCTTTTTGTTTGGGTTTTTTATGGTCTGATGAGTCCAGCATTTTCCTACTGATTTTTATAGTTTATTCTTATGATATGCTGTTACATCACTGTCCTAGATGAGGGAAGGGTTGAACGCACACAAACGCGCCACATTCTTTATGTGCCTGTCCCAAGTCAGGAGCTGTAATTCAGTGGTTGTCGTTGATTGCTGGCTGCCTCATCTTTATTTTTGGTTTGTTGCTTTTAGTATAAATCAGGCCGTTTGTTTTCTCGTTTGAATTGATTCGCATTATGTCATGCCAGGGTCTTTTTATAACTGACCATACCGTTTAAGTTTTGCTCATTTTTGAAGGCCGTACACTCTCTTCCTTTTTTTCACTGGTAGATAGTTGTCTCATTGGCAATCATACATCATCTCCTTATTTTTTTGTATCATCAATGGTCCAAATATATTTTGGAGAAAAGCTTTTCACGACGTTCGTAATTATATATATATATATATATATATATTGGCCTTCCGAATACTGTTTCGATTCCTAACATCACTGAAGAGACATTAATTGTCGAAATCCGGATATGGTGTACTAATTTTTGCACCTTTTGTTTGCGGTATACCATCTTTTCCGCAAGTTTATTGTTTTCTGTTTAGTATTAAATTAATAGTTAAGATCCATTTTGTTACATCTGGTGATCCGTTTATTTGGCAATCTCCAATGGCAGTCAGCAGGGTTTAAGAACATCCGTTGTTTGACCTGCTAGTCAAATGCGTTTTGTTAAAATATACTTTTTCACTCTTTTTGGTCTTTTGGAAAATGTTGTTTGTGCTGTATTTAGACCCCTCTACCAAGAAATTTGTTTTGCATGCACACGTATAAAAATTGCGGTTTTTATTCAACGCAATCATAGGTTTGAACGTTGTTTTCAATTTAGACTTGTTCATATACATATATGTATATACACTAATATCTATGTTATATGAGTTTAAGGAGCAATTACTATATAAGTAAGCCACCTACCAAAACCAATAACAACGACGTTCGTAAAAGATTTTAAAGCATATCCTTCGTATAATCACACATTACAAATTAAGGGAACAACTCGGAGAAAAGTAAAATATTTTCTTTTGTCTCATTTAAAATTTCAAAACATTTCTTCTGTAAATTATTAGAAATATAATTTTGCGCTAACCCTGTTACAAATTTGTATCCAATCTGGTAGATTCCATTTTTACGACGTTAAATTAAAAAGATGGTTAAAATCAGATCTTTATCATTTATCATCACAATAAAAATATATTTTTTAAAGCTTTATCGACACCTCTTTCGAGAACAACCAAGGAATTTGATTTGAGACATTATCTATTGGTTACTTTTTTATGCTGCAAAAATTAAGTTAAAATCACTGCAGCAAGAGAATCAATATAAGCAAAAATTAAAAACACATTTGATATTTATTGGCCAATTGGATGCGAAGGACTAAAAGAAGTAAACTGATGCAGAAACATGAATAAAAACGGTCTTTTTCATAAAATATAATTTCGACGTAGAAATTCTAGTGCCGTCTTTCTGCTTATCATTTAGCCGAAAACAAAAGTTTAAGGCAAGTGCCCTTTTCGGTTGATTTCTCGAAGAAAGTTGTACTGTTAATTAAATTTTAAATTTATATTGATATCAACACTGAAAAGAACAGTAGTTTGTTTGATTCATTACGTCATAGTAGAACAGTCATTGGCGTTTTCATTACATTCCTTTTTTGTTGATTTTTTAGCTGCCAAATTCATACCCATCGAATTGACTCAAACTGTCAACTTTGATTTAACATGGTAAACCGTATATCCGAATTACAAAAGTTCCATAGGAAACAATAACTTATCATGCTGAGCACACGCGTAATTGGTCTCCAACTGAGGTCGCATCAAAGGTGGCATGCATACGGGTTTAAATGAGGTCGTATTATTTTCTCGCAAGATATAGGGTACCAATGATCTTCCTGAGCTTATTTTGAAAAATAATTTGAACCAAACTGACTGCCTTTAGCGAATTATTAATCAATATTTCGTTCTTGTAAATGTTTGATGCAAAAACAAATGTAAAACACTTTCCTCTTATACGGTCAAAATTGTAGCCACTGGCCCTTTAAAACATTTAATGATCCACAAATCAAAGACTTTACCAGAGTGTTTGGCTTTATAAATAGCACCTATGATATGAATATATACTATAAGGTCTTGTACGAGCTTGATATTTTGCACTAACCGAAATTAGTTAAAACCACGCATTTTTGTTTTTTTAGAGAAATGGTATTTATGAAGTCTTTGACCTTTAAACCAAGGTGAGTATTCGTGATAATAAATTCTTAGAGTAATGACTAACATCTTACTTATTACACCAAATAAGGGCCTCCCCACCAATTCCGTCGATTGATAATAATAAGCATACGTACCGTTGTAACTGTTCCACATTCACTGTATGGTATTATTATTGTAACAGTATCAGTCGTTTTCTGTGTATCTGAATTGCATGGTCCAGTATATGGATAAAATATAGATAAATGTTTTTCCTCCAAATATTTGTCTTGTATTCTACTGAACCGTGCGTAAAATTTCCCACCTGAACATTCTAGTTCTGGAACCGGTGCTAAAAACAAACAAAGTGAGAAATACTAGATTGTCGATACTAAAGTAATACATACTAGATTGTCGATTATTGTTACTGAAGTGAGAAATGTTAATTTGTTGATACTAAGAGTGAGCTATCCTATGTTATCGATATTGAAGGAATAATTATTAGACTGTCGATTGTTGATTCTGAAGTGAGAAATACTAGATCATCGATATTGAAGTGATAGATACTAGACTGTCGATTGCCGATACTGGATGGGAAAATACTACATTGGCGATACTTAAGTGAGAAAAACTAGATTGTCAATACTGAAGTGAGAAATACTAGAATGTCGATACAAAAGTGCAAAATACTAGATTGTCGATACTAAAGTGAGAAATACTGAAGTAATAAACACTAGACTTTCGATTGTCGTCACTGAAGTAATAAACACCAGACTTTCGATTGTCGTCACTGAATTGAGAAATACTAGATTGTCGATTGTCGATGCTGAAGTGAGAAATACTAGATTGTTGATACTGAAGTGAGAAATACTAAAATGTTCATACTGAATTGAGAAAAACAAAGTCTTGACTGTCGATTGTCGATACTGAAGTGAGAAATACTAGATTGTCACGATACTAAAGTGAGAAATACTAGATTGTCACGATACTAAAGTGAGAAATACTAGTCTGTCGATTGTCGTTACTGAAGTAATAAACACTAGACTGTCGATTGTCGTCACTGGATTGAGAAATACTAGATTGTTGATACTGAAGTGAGAAATACTAGATTGTTGATACTGAAGTGAGAAATACTAGACTGTCGATTGTCGATGCTGAAGTGAGAAATACTAGATTGTTGTTACTGAAGTGAGAAATACTAGATTGTGGATACTTAAATGAGAAATACAAAGTCTTGACTGTCGATTGTCGATACTGAAGTGAGAAATACTAGATTGTCGATACTAAAAGTGAGAAATACTAGACTGTCCATTGTCGATACTGAAGTGAGAAATACTAGACTGTCCATTGTCGATACTGATGTGAGAAATACTAGATTGTCGATACTGAAGTGAGAAATCCTAGATTGTTGATACTGAAGTGAGAATTACTAGATTATTGATACTGAAGTGATAAATGATATACTGTCGAGTGTCGATCCTGAAGTGAGCAATACTAGATTGTCGATACTGAAGTGAGAAATACTAGACTGTCCATTGTCGATACTAAATTGAGAAATACTAGATTGTCGATACTGAAGTGAGAAATACTAGATTGTCGGTATTGAAGTGATAAATAAATACTAGACTGTTGTTCTTTACCAAGACTATTTGATCTATTTAAACCAAAATTGGGGTTAGCAAAGAGAAAATTAAAAAAGACTAGCCGGCTCGGGAAACAGTTTTTTTTTCTCCTTAACAAAGTTTAAAAGACGCTTTTGCAGAGTTTTCAAAATCTTTTTCCCCCAGGTGGTCCTTGAAGAAATCCTGCAGGTCATCATTATTATTTCTATTGCAAAATACCAAAATTGTGTCGGTCCTTTGCAAAGTTTTGGTGGTCAGAGACTTCAAACCATAACTTTTCGAGAACTCTGGTTTTGAAATTCAGATTTACTCACTGATATTTCTGCGTACGGTACAGTTCCTTCGAAATCCCATTTTATTTAAAGTAATGTCTTATAATAGAGATGGTATGCTTTATAAATGTCATTTACATGACAATTACTGAAGTGAGAAATACTAGACTGTCGATTGTCGATACTGAAGTGAGAAATACTAGATTGTCGATTGTCAGTAATGTCTAATAATGGAGATGGTACTATGCTTTATAAAGTCATTTACATCACATTTTTTGCCAAAGTTTGTTCCAAAACCCGTAGAATTGTCACCACCATAAAATTTGAGGAGGAACAATTGCCCAAGAGGTCTCTTGTTCTGCCTCATTTGAGCAAATAGTTGTATACCATGCGTACACGACAAAAATTTATTGCAGATTTTTAAAATATTCTTATAAAGTTCTATGAATAATTGATCTTAGGCTGTGGATCAAATTTCTAAGGACAATTTTAACACGTCTATTGACAGACCACCTCCAACACTAAATCTTACAATACACCTTTTCACTTGTAGTATCGTATATCTGAGATTTTAAACAACAATTTAAAGGTTGGATAACATATCAATCACAAGTATGGATATTTATAATAAAAAAAAACTTTAACGTAAATGTTTTTTATTGTTTTTTTTAAAATTATTTTCTATGTGTTGTCGTTTTTTCGTACCCAAAAATTGATATTGTGCGTATCACATGATTTTAGAAATGTTTGGCACCAAACACTATTTAGTAGCATAAATTACATGTTAAATCGTGAAATAAAACAAAATATGATAGATATTAAGATTGTAGTGTGCTATACTATAGAATGTGCTTGATAAAAACCACAAAAGTGAAAACATTTATAAGTGGTTTAGACCTACATCGATAACTATCACCATAACCTACATCGATAACTATCACCATAACCTACATCGATAACTATCACCATAACCTACATCGGTAACTGTCACCATAACCTACATCGGTAACTATTACCATAACCTACATAAACTATATCGGTAACTATCACAAAACCATCATTGTTTGCACTATAGTAAACGATACATACGTTGGTTTCCATGACGTGTTCAGTTAATTTGCAATTAAATTTGTAGCTGTTGGTAATAAAAGAAATACTATATATGAAAATAAGAAGATGTGGTATGATTGCCAATGAAACAACTCTCCCCAAGACACCAAATGACACAGACACTAACAATTATAGGTCACCGTACGGCCTTCAACAATGAGTGAACCCGTACCGCATAGTCAGCTATAAAAGGCCCCGAAATGACAAATGTAAAACAATTCAAACGAAAAAACTAACGGCCTGAATTATGAAAAAAATAATGAACGAAAAACAAAAATGATATACAGCAACAAACAACAATGTCCAGTTAGGAAACTTTTCTTGTAACAACACTTATATACTAAAATGATGGTTTAGATATTAATATGCATATAAGCAGTGTATTTCCTCTACGAAACTTAAATATTACTGATCATGATTTCTTCATGTTGATTGATTTGTTTAACAGTGGTTTCTTGTTTGATTGTGTTGTCAGGGTTTTACATATGTTATTACATGTGCATAAAAGTATTACTGATGATACAACAAAGCACTTAACCATATCCAGTCAGGATTCTACTCCGTCAATATTATCTCCCCCATTACGCCACTTATTTTTTGCAATCGGGAAAATGGAAGCCATTGTAGAGATGACGCACTATCAATTTAGCTCTTGAAAACCGAAAAATTTATCCACATAGCATCATTACCATTCTTTAATGACAGTTGTTTTTTGAAAGATATCGTCTTACGGTGTTTATATATCCCAAATCGTTCGCTATGCTCGTGTCTGTAGTGACGTTTTAGATTTCAATAACGTAATCTATGTATTACTAGTAAATTATTAAGTCAGGGATTTCGTTACCACAAATTACTTAAAACCTTTACTAAATTCCTCCATAGATACAAATATTTGGTCTGCAAGTTTGGTTGTACCCGTAGAAAACATATTTAAAATGTTGTTATTTTGATTTTGTTATCAGTAAATTAAGACCATACTAAATATTACACATATCTACTTTCACGGCACTACAATCTGTCGATGTCTATAGTTTGGCATTGTACAAGGTCATGTTTTTCTCTGACTATTAATGACGTCCAGGCGCGTAGCTACGTTTACGTCAAAACGCCCGGGCGTACACATGAATTTAGGAGAAAAAATAATTTAATCTTAACAAATAATAAAAAAAACCTTAAAAGCACACGAGCCTTGTTATTCTTTCTTCAATAATAAAAGTGACGAAATTTACTTTTTAATGAAATGGTATCATATTACATATTTGTTCATTTTCTGTCAAAGTCTGAATCTACTGTGAATTCTACTCAGTTTCCTATGGTTTTAAGCAATTCTTTCGATATGTGGTTTGCTTTTTGATAAGCCTGCGACATTTATGTCGCGAAAACGAGATCGTGGCTTAGCGATCCTAGATTCCGTCGGCGTCGTCAACATTTAGGTTCAGTCTGTTGTTAAAGTTATTTTTGATTTTATCAATAACTTTGTCAGACCTTTATGGAATTTTACGGAAGTTGGACAGAAGCTTTTTAAGACCAAATTTAAGACAGTATTCAGATCAAAATTTTATAAATATTTATTTTTATTTTTGTCTCGCCTTGACGGAGTCAAAAAGTGAGACATGTTTCCTGCGTCGTCGTCGGTGGCGGCGTCAACTATGTATAAATTTGTGATTAGGTCAGTTTATTAGGAACCACTAGTGGTAGGCAAATAATATTTGGTATGCAGTTGTATGAGCATTGGCACATCTCATTTCCCCCTCAGTCATGGTCTATTGACTTTGAAACTTTTGCTTAGTTAACATGCATTAGTTTGTTTATGGGGAACCACTAGTGTTATGTCAACGATATTTGGTATACAGTTGTACTAACATAAGAACATCTCATTTCCATGGAACTTATGTTGCCACTTCCCCTCAATCATAGTCTATTGACTTTGAATTTGAAACTTTTGTTTAGTTTACATGTATCAGTTTGTGATTAGATCAGTTTATGGGGAACCACTAGTGGTAGGTTAAATATATTTGGTATGCAGTTGTATAAACAGTGGCACTTCATTTCCATGGATATTGTTTTGCCCTGTATTTTCAGTCATGGTTCATTGACTTTAAATATTTTGCATAACTTACATATCAAAATAGCATTAAGGCGAGACATATCTCTGTGTTTATAGTTTATAGTGAAAAATGGACTTACTACTAGGGGGTGTTTAACGACCTTGACTACCAATGAGGGTCTCGCTCGGTCAGCTAAATGGACTTCGTTTTTGTTTACAGTTAATATTTAGATGCAGTACAAGGTTAAAGTTTTTTTTTTCAGACATCAATAACTTTGTCGAACCTTCATGAAATTTTACCTAAGTTGGACACAAACTTTTTATGATCAAAAGTCGGTATCCAGAGCATAATGAAAATATTTTTTTTTATTATTTTCCGTATTTTACTGATAAAAGCACTTTGTTGTTTTGTAATTAATAAGTAGATGCATTTTGAGGTCAAAGTTTGTTACACATCAATTACTTTGTCAAACCTTCATGGAATTATATGAACATTTGGCAGAAGCTTTTTAATGATTTTAAAAGAGATAATTTTGAAATTATTTTTTTTTATTTTTCAGTATTTTACTGACTTATTTTTTTTACAATTAACAGACGGTCTGGGATTATTTATTTATTTTTTTACATGATAAATTTGATAACCTTCTTAGATTGTTATGAACCTTGGGAATAAGCTTATCTTCAAGATTAAGAAAAATCATCTAAAGAAAAGTTTTTTTTCTTAAATCCTGTATTTGTCTGATGAATAGATAGATATAAGAAGATGTGGTATGAGTGCCAATGAGACAACTCTCCATCCAAGTCAAAATTTATAAAAGTAAACCATTATAGGTCACAGTACGGTCTTCAACACGGAGCCTTGGCTCACACCGAACAGTAAGCTATAAAGGGCCCCAAAAAATTACTAGTGTAAAACCATTCAAACGGGAAAACCAACGGTCTAATCTATATAAAAAACGAGAAACGAGAAACACTTATGAACCACATCAACAAACGACAACTACTGAATATCAGATTCCTGACTTAGGACAGGTGCAAACAAATGCAGCGGGTTTAAACGTTTTAATGGTACCAAACCTTCACCCTTTTTCTGAAACAATAGTGTAACATCACAACATAGAAAGACACACTATAAAATATCAACTGAAATAGCTTAACTCAATCAAAGGACATATTAACACCATTGAACATACACTGAACAAATAAATTTGACCTATGACACAATGTAAATACAAAATAAATAAACTAAGGGAAGAATAATAAAAGTAACATGTGATATCGGTAAGAAAAGTTAGACAATTAAAGAAAAACAATATGCTCGAACAAAAATACCGTCCATTTGCAATAACTTTAAACACAGGTAAATGAAAATAATTTTGTTGTTAGGTATACGTATACAGTACCAATAGAGAAAGGAAATATTTTTACAAAATAAATAATTTTGAATAACTTTTTATAGTCAACATTACACTTTTACACAGACAGAAGCAATCCCAGGCGAGACCCAGGGTTCCACGGAACTCTTTAAGAATTTTATATTTCACCTGAAAATCTATGAAAATTATTTATTTCATGTGTCTATTAACGGAATTTGCGCATAAAAATGGGTGAAAATTTAGATAAAGTCAAAATAATTAATAGAACGACAACATTGAAATAGAGAATTGCTTTTTTATTTTCTCTAAACTTTTGGATTTTTGTAGATTGATTGTTATACCCCACATCTCCTTTTAATAAAATTGAGAATGGAAACGGGGAATGTGTCAATGAGACAACAACCTGACCAAAGAGCAGAAAACAGCCCAAGGCCACCAATGGATCTTCAACACAGCGAGAAAATCACGCACCCGGAGGCGGGCTTCAGCTGGCCCCTAAACAAAAATGTGTACTAGTTCAATGAAAATGGACGTCACACTAAACTCCAAAACATATAAATGAACTAACATTAAAAAAACATACAAGACCAACAAAGGCCAGAGGCTCCTGACTTGGGACAGGCGCAAAAATGCGGCGGGGTCAAACATGTTTTGTGAGATCTCAACCCTCCCCCTATACCTCTAGCCAATGTAGAATAAACAAACACACAGCAATACGCACAGTAAAACTCAGTTGAAAAGAAGTCCGAGTCCGATGTCAGAATAGGTAACAAAAGAAACTAAGCAAAATGACAATGATATATAAATTAACAAAGGACTACTAGCAGTTACTGACATGCCAGCTCCAGACCTCAATTAAACTGATTGAAAGATTATGTCTTCATCATATGAAAATCAAGCACAATCCCTCCCGTTAGGGGTTTAGTATCATAAACATATTTTACAGTAACTGGTTTGGACATTTTTCTCTAAGACAAAAATGATCATTGGATTCAAAATCAACACAATGAATAAATTAAACTTAAAAAAAATAAATAAACTAGACTCTAAATATGTAGCTATTGATGAGTTTTTAATGACAGAAATGCTATCTCTTTCTCGATAACGCAAGTATCTGGGGCTTCGCCACATCAACCCCCTACCAGGAGGTCCTCTGCCCTGGACCCGCTTTGGTCCCTCAGACGCCTCGCCGAGTATCGGGCGTACACTTACAAATGGCCTAGCTACGCCACTGACGTCTTTAATCTAAATCCATTGGATGTTGGATGTGTACTGATTGATATTTTAGTCTTAAATACATGATTTTTTTTATTAGTTGTTATTGGCTTTGAACTAGCTGTCAGTAACTGTGAGTACTCTCAGATCTGTACTTAAGTGTCTTTTTGTTGTGTGAATGTATAAGTATCCGTCCACGTACACTCTTTGTTTTTGTTAGATGTATTTCTATTTGTATCCATCTGATAAGTTAAGCCTTTTTCAACTGATTTTTATAGTTTTTTCTTATGTTGTACTGTTAAACCACTGTCCCAGGGGGTGGGGGTGGGGGGTTGAGCGCTCACAAACATGTTTAACCCCGCCACATTCTTTATGTGCCTGTCCCAAGTCAGGAGCCTTTAGTTCAGTGGTTGTCGTTGGTTCATGTGTCATATTTGTTTTTCGTAAATTGTTTTGTTATAAATTAGGCCATTAGTTTTCTCAATTGAATTGTTTCATTTTTTCATGTCGGGGCCTTTTATAGCCGACCATACGGTATGGGTTTTTCTCATTGTTGAAGGCCGTACGGTTGCATGCAATTGCTTACATCCACTTCAAGTTTAATTATTTTAGCAGTAGAAAGTCATGTCATAGAATTGATATTTGTTTCTGATGTACTGTTATATGCCATGTATGGTTGTGTATAAAAGCAAGCAGATATGAAAAATGTTATAAACAGGAATACGTTGTGTAGGAAGTAAAAAAAGTATAAGCAGTGGAATAAAACATTCATTTCCATTGGCGTATACAGATACGCAGATATTTTTACCTTTGAAAAGTCATGTTTCTCTCGGGCGGGGCCCTCGGAATATCTAGAAATTGCCAAAAGCACTTCTTGCTAAACCCTTGATAGTTTTAAATCTGACAATTTAAGAATAATTTACATCTGTATTATTGATAAGGTCAACACGCTCTTTATACAAATATAAAATTATTTCAATAGATTTAACAGTTTAAATCGCTCACCGAGTGGCTGTGCATTAAGAAGTTTTACACATGTAACGCTGGCAAACTCTTTTTGGTTGACATTACAGTTGTGGACTGTAGATTTCGGACATTGCTCGATGTCAGTTTCTGTACCAATACATTCTACGTCATCAAGAAGATAATTGGCACTGACTTTATCGATGACGACCTGAGAATATATATCCTGTGGTGCACCTGCTTGAGCAACATTTGGACTGAAGAAAAAAGCAATCATGTATACTATCCATTTATCTGATACATTATATCGTGTTCCTTTAATATCAACAGACCTACAAAATGATAGTCTTGAATATCACTGAATTATCATATGTAAGCTAAATTATCATATACTTAGAGTTGATAACTTATAATTTTTACAGTATGATTATGGCACTAAATTTACGTGAATTCCATATTTTTCGAAATAGTGTTTAGCGGGCTGATATGAAAAATTTATCACATGCTTCCGACTATTAACACATGCCTTTCCGTAACGTTATCGCATGGCATTCCGGCATTACTCGGCAAATTCCGGAAAATACACCTTAATAGTACGTTTTCAGTGAAAAACATTACAAAGTAGGGTACAAAACAATTCTTAGGAAACAGGAAATATATTATGTAAAATGCAAAAAAAAAAAAAAAAACAAATGATACAATAAAAGAATTTTTTCAATGTTTCCAGCATAATTTAGAAAGTTACTTTACAAATGTTGACTTTTCCAAACAGTGTTCATTATGTTTTGTTGATTATTTTTTTTCATCGTCAATATAAAAATATATTTTACTGTTGTTTTTCTCCTCTGTTGAGGCATATGATAGAAAGTTTTCATATCGGATGTATTACATTTGGTGTCCGAAGTCCGTAAACTTTTCACTTTTTGAACTTCTACTTGAGAACCACTTTAAAGGATCAATATATTAAACTGTTATTTTTCTTCATTTTTAAAGCATATGATAAAAAGATCATAACATGTCATTTTTCATATCAGATGTATTATCAGCCCTCGGTCAATATCAGCCCTCGAGCCTTCGACTCTTGGGTTGATATTGAACCTTGGGCTGATAATACAACTGATATGAAAAATGCCATGTAATAGTCTGATATTATCATATACTTAGAATTTTTACAGTATGATAACAGCATTAAATTTACGTGAATTACATATTTTCCGAAATGGTGCTTAGCGGGCTGATATGAAAATTTATCAACTGCTTCCGGCTATTATCGCATGCCTTTCCGTAACGTTCTCGCATGGCATTCCGACGTTACTCGGCAAATTCCGGAAAATACACCTCAGTGGTACGTTTTTAGTGAAAAACATAACACAGTAGGGTACCAAACAAACATTTATAATTTAGGAAACAGGAAAATATATTATGTAAAATGCAAAACAAATGATACAATAAACGTATTTTTTAAAAGTTCCCAGCATAATTTAGCAAGTTTCTTTACAAATGTTGACCTTTCCAAACAGGGTTCATTATGTTTTGTTGATTTTTTTTATCGTCAATATAATATATATTATACTGTTGTTTTTCTCCTCTGCTGAGGCATATGATAGAAAGATTTCATATCGGATGTATTACATTTGGCGTCCGTCGTCCGTAAACTTTTCACTTTTTGAACTTGTACTCAAGAATCACTTAAAATGATCAATATATTAAACTGTTATTTTTCTCCATTATTGAAGCATATGATAAAAAGATCATAACATGTCTTTTTTCATATCAGCTGTATTATCAGCCCTCTGTAACCAAACTTAAGGAAATTGGTAAAAAAAGATTGTTGATATAATACGAAAAAGATAAAATATTTTTGTGAATTTCTATAATATCGTATGTGGTTCATTAGTATACATTGTTGTTTCAGACTATTGCATGCATGATTCATTGTATTGTTTTTACATGTTAATCAAAAGTCAGTATAAGATAGCCGGAGTGATACGGTTTAAGAGAAATACATAAAAAGAAGGTATAATACAGCCGATGTTTTGGTTCCTAGAATTCAAACACCAAACAGTATTCTCAACACACGACATCACCCTGGCTGACACAACACCCTGGCTGACACATATATCTTTATTTCATTTTTTTCACATATTTGCTTTAGGGATTCAGACTTCTTGCATTTGATACAACAACAAGACTGTGTGTCCATAGAACACCATTTCCTACTCGCACTATCTTATTATCGTGCTAAATAAACCGCAAAAAATCTGGTTCTAAACCCTAATTCGGCAAATATTTGAAATACGTAACACACCAGGAAATGTAATGACCCTCTACCACGAAAGGCAGAGTATGCATGGAAACTGCCAGAGTAATCTTTTTCGCTTTTTTGTAAGATCGTAAATATTTAGATATAAGTCACAGCCCTTTCAAAAAAATGCAATGTATAAATGGGAATTTCAGGTCAAATATTTTAAATTCGACGAAATTGATTGAACAAATCGTCACTTAAAGGCAATAAATATTAGAAGGAGATGACGGACGGCAGACGACGACCTCGTATAATAAATGACGACGACGGACGCCAAGTGAGCTAAAATGATAAGGTTTACAAACCTCTTACTTTACAACAATTCAACATAATTAATATTCCGTTTAAATTCTAAATCTTAGTTTGAAGAAGTTTCGGGCGACAGTAGTTTTTACTCAATTAGATAGAAATGTACTTGAGATGCGCTTTAAACTAGCTTCCTGTAACCGCGAGTTCTCGTATATCGGATTTTTGTGTCTTTTGTCTTTTTGTTAGTTGTTTTTCATTCTTTGTGTCCATCTGATAAGCCATATGTTTTGCTGTTTTACCACTGTCCCAGGATAGGGGAGGGTTGAGCTCTCGTAAAACTGTTTAATCCCGCCACATTCTTCATGTCCTTGTCACGAGTCGGGGCCTGTAATTCAGTAATGATGTTGGTTCCCATCTGCAGTTGGTTTTTTTTTGGTTAATATTTTACCATAAATCAGACCGTTTGGTTTTCTCGTTTGATTTGTTTCAAATTTTGTCATGCCAGGGCTATTTATATCTTACTTAACTTATGAGTTTTGTTATTGATGAAGTCTTAGGTTGACCTATAGATGTTTACATCAACGTCTCTTGTTCTCTGGTGGATAGTTGTCTCATTGACAATCGTACATACATACATACATGCCTTTATTATAACACCAAACATTCAATATACAGAAATTTCTGATTTTATGCTTATGTATACTTGGTTGAGAATGAATATCAATACAAGGTAAAAATAGACACGCATTATCTCCAAAAGGAGGAAAGTGTAACAGAGTAAGGGTCTCATATTATGAATGCATGACCTATATTATAAATGCATGATCTAATCATGCTCAAATAAAAATGCATGACCTATAATTTATGCTCAAATAAAAAATGCATAATTGCATTTTGAAGTCAAAATGTATCACTGGTTTAGAAAGAACTGTTTCAGAATCAATACAAGTACGAATATGAAAATCGTCAAAAAAACCAGACCCTTAGTCTACCAACATTCAAAATGGTTTGGTTATTATTTTTTTTTAAGTTTCAAGTAAATCATTAGAATGCATACATAAATAAGTATACAAGCAATTCAAAAATGGGATCAGGAAACAAGAGCAGTGCTCTTATCTAAATTTATTTCCCGAAGTTGAAAAATAAAATTACAGAACTATATGTACTTGATGATAGGCAGACGAATATGTGTGAAAAAAAACATAAAATGAATACAATAAACTAAATAAAGATTAATATTGGATGTTATATGTGTAATTATATATATATAAAGTTATGCTGCGTTCACACGTAACTCGAATTCAATTCGCATTAACTAATTCGAATTAGTTTAATTCGCATTCGAAACGTTTAACGTCCAAACGTAAATTCTAATTCGAATTGCAATGCGCGTCAAAGTGTGTGAACGCGATTAGCGAATTCGATTCGCATTCGATTAAATGTACGTGTGAACGAGGCATTAGATCAGGTGAAAGAAGAAAGGTGTTTTTGAAAATTGACTGTTTTATTACGGAAAGGGATAACATTCCTTTGTGCACATCATCAGGTATTGATTGTTCTATATTTCTTCATGCCCTTTTTCTGTCCTAATAAATGACGCCATGCCCCCTTTTCATCTCTTTAAATGACCTCATGGTCTAGTAAATGATTGAATACAAGAAAGTGGATGTATAAAGTCCAGAATTGGCTTAGGTGTGTTTCTCTTCTTATTTCTTCTTTATTATTTTCACTAGATGATATTTATTTCGATATCATAATTCTCCTTAATCCGGATTGAACGAGTAAAAGATTGATTCATATGGTGATTCAAATCTTTCAAAAATGTGAACTAGTAAAAATTATTGTACTTATTTGAACAAAAAGTTTGTAAGCATTTCACAGTACCGCCTAATATCAATTTCACTTGCTTTATTATAGATCGACATCGTTTTACTCTGTTTAATAAACAAAATCGATGGAAATACTTAATTCTTTGAATGTTTCGATTTTGACAAGAAGCCATCATAAATAGTTTGTGAAAAGATTTTAAACTGGTCCTTCGACTAATTTCCTTGTTTTAAGAAAAAAAATTATCAAACATATGTAAAGCACATATAAATAAACGATAAAAGTGTCATGCATGGCATATTTACAGGGACCTTTATAATACAAATACAGGCGGGAAATTTAAAAACTTGAAATATTTTAGAACATTACACTTTTATTAATTGCTATCTTGAGCTCTAATTCCATCAACAACTGTGAGTCCATACTTTACCAATGCAATATAACCATTCATTGCCAAGGAATGAGCTGTCAAATTGACAGCAAACTGGGTTTTCTGTATTAAAAAGGCACTTTCAGGCTTTTTCGACCTTCCACATTCTATAGAATTTTCCAATCTATCAAGGACTATAACTCCTGAACGGCAAAAATTAAAATCGTCACTATCAAACTTGACAACCATTTTGTCATCAGTAACAGCATAATAAATTTCAAGAGCATTATCTGAATGGTTCATAAGTAATTACACGGAAACGACATAAAGTGCAAATTTCCAATCTATCAAGGACCATATCTCCTGAACGGCAAAAATGAAAATCGTCAATATCAAACTTGACAACCATTTTGTGATAAGTATCAGCATATCAAAATTTTACGAGCATTAAATGACCAGATAATAAGTAATTGCACGAAAACGACAAAAAGTGCCATATCTCTCAAGGACCATAACTCCTTGTCGGTAAAAGAAGGAATCATCAATGTCGAACTTGATCTCCATTTTTCATCAGTAACAACATATCAAAATTTTAAAAGCATTTGTTCAGTGGTTCATAAGTAAATGCACGCAAACGACATAAAATGCCATTTTCCAATAGACTAAGACCATAATTCCTGAATGGTAAAAGTGAAAATCGTCAATATTAAACTTGACCTCCATTTTGTCACTAGTAACAACATAATATAATTTGAAAACTATTGGTAGAAGGATTCATAATTTATTGAACGGAAACGACATAGTGTCATTTTCCTATATAGCAAGTACCATAACTGCTGAACGTCAATATTTAAACTAACCTCCATTTTGTCATTAGTATCTACATGTTAAAATTTGAAAAGCATGCTTTGAACGGTTCATAAGTTATAGCACGGAAACTGTTTGCAGCCGCCTGCCCGCACGCCCATCGTTGTTCACCAATTTAATAACTGTATTTTTCATTCTGAAAACCCAGTTAAAAATTCTTTCAATCATGTTTCCAAAAATAAAAAACAATTATTTTGCGATTATTTTTTTTTAATTGACACATTTGTCAAATTTGTAAGCAAAATAGTATCATACGGAAAACAGATAAGTACTAAGACATGCACTGACACAGAAGAAAAGAAAATATTATATAAGCCAACATCCGTAATAAAATAATAATAAATTAAGAGAAGGTTTATAGCAGTAATTTTTTATAATTTTAAGCTAAGCTTTCTAATCAGAAATTGTTAATTTGTATTTAATAAATCATATATAGGCAAAACATTCCATTAAGCTTAGTAACATTAAAGACTAAGTTTAACTTAATTTCATATCAGAAAACATATGTTAGAACATAGAATATGTATCAATAAATTTATACCTAGGGAGCAAAAATTATATCCTAGCTACAAAAATATAAATATCATTTTTTATAAACATTGAAATAAACCAACAAACGATGCTAAAATATGAAAGAAAACATGGATCACTGAGCGTTGACTTTAAATACAAAACACACAATAATAAATATATTCTCGCAAAAACAAAAATATCGAGTGGCATATAGGGGAAATATTGGAATATGAGGGGCAATTAGAAAATACGAATAATACAGTAATCAACTTATTTTCGCCAATACTTTTGTTTTTGTTAAGTACAATTAAACCGACTTTGCTGTTAGCTATTTTCCAATTAAATTATAAGAGAAGATCCAAATATGACATATAGCAACAACTTATATTTCTTGCAAAAGTCATTTAAATAAATCCTTCAAAAAATCATTTCTATATATAGATTGATGAGAGAAGCATCAGCTGCGTCCCAATACAAGTTTTGTTCATTGACCTCATATATTCAGTCTGTAAGTTACTGCATAAGGAATTTTTATTATTCAACGGCAACACGGTTTCCAAAAAGGTTATATAGAAGGAAAAGAATGTTTTCGTTTGCTCAGGTTCGAATCACGCTAAAGGAACGATATAAATTAAAACGCGAAGAAATGCAATTATTTTGCTGCTTTATAGGACTGAATTTAAGACGTTATAAGGATATATATATATAGTAAAAGCCCCCTATAGATATTGGCTCTGTATTCCAAAGGAGAAAATATATCGTAGAGTCGTCGCAAATTATACTTCTTTGCTAAAATTGGAATCATGTTCCTTATAAATGATATAGTTTATTTCAATACCTTAATTAAAACATCTCTCATTCAGCAAACAAGCAATTGCTATATGACTATCTAGTAAATATAACTCGGCAAACTTACTCATAACAAAGCATTCGACAAACCACCTGGGCATCTTCTTTGCCCCATTGGTCGTCACATATTGATCCCCAAACACCATTTCTCTGGACCTCTACAAACCCTATACCATTCAAATTCGATAGTCCGATCAATCGGATATTAGGACTCGGGGAGGTGCCTGAAATTGTAATCAGAACCAGTAACAAATGTGCCAACCTCTATATATAGATATCTTTATACACGGAATATGTTTTATTATCATAATGACAAAAGAAATCAATATTCATAAATCATATATACTTGCAGAATTCATAAAAAATCGAAAAGCTCAAAATACGGTATCGCACATCATATAACTAATGTCAAGAATGACTTAATGTGACATTTGGCAATAATTTGTACTCGAAATGCATTAAAATCAGAAGAATATGATTAACATTGATCCAGTTCTGGTCAGTGATCGTTTCTCTAATAATTAAGTTAAAATCAATGTTTTCAGTGCTGCAATGGGGATGATTTCATATCGATTTTCATTGTTTGTAATGAAAAGAAGCACTGTACCTAGTACTATATGTAATTGGGAACGGTGGTAAATGCAGTTTTACTGCCGACATGGTCTGCTATAGTAGGCCAAGCACGCAGAGCTTGCTTTCAGTAAGTGCAATCATTTGATATGGTATTTTTTTATATGTCTTATTTTGTTATCAATTATACTAGTATTGTAGAGTTAAAGGGGCACTAGCTGCAAAATTTTTGTTTACCTATTAAACTCAAACTCTCAAATATGATTTATAAAACATATATTAAAATAACAATTCCCGCAGGAAACAATAAACGATGCATGAAGTCGTAAAAAGTATCAACATTTTGGGACAGAAAGTCATCTAACTAGCCATCGCAATAACCTTCGAAGATTGTCGATGGACATGTGACCCCGTTATGAATACACATAGAAAATATTAAAACAAAATGATTAGCATGTGCAAAAGTAAAACGACATTTTTTCTGTTTCAATTCATACCAGAGATAAAAAAAAAAAAAAAAAAAAAAAGAAAGAAAGAAGAAAAAAAAACCATGTTTTAACTGTAATCTGAATAAGAATGAGTTGTTTTGCGGGTCAAAACTATAAACGACATTTCTCTGCTGACATTTAAAAAAAATCTTAACTGAACGTGCTGAGCACACGGGCAATCCTCTCAAATTGAGGTCAAATCAAAGGTTACATACATATGGATCTAAATGAGGTTGAACTATTGTCATGCAGGTCAGTAATGTCCAGTAATTGAAAAAAAAGAGAAACGAGAGTGATTGAGATCTAAAAAAAAACTATAACCCCTTACAATATGTTCAGTTGCCTATCATGTATACGGAACCTCGTTAGTGATTGTCTTTTGTATGTCTAAAATGCTTTTGTCACTTAGCGAATTTGAAAAAAGGCAGATCTTTGTTAGTCTTGATAAAAGGAACTTGTTCTACATAAGGATGTGCGCTTTCTACAATTTGATAACACATATGTTCTAGCAATAGATGCATTCTCAACTGTTGATTCGTAAGGAGCTGGCATTTTCCTTTCTAAATCCGAAAATTGCGTTAATTACGAATTACATACATGCCGTCTCAAAGCCCTAACGTTCCTCTTTCTCATTTTATAGCATTATTATAGTTATACTAAAACACACCCGCGACATCGCGGATCCGTGGCTGAATTTAAGTACCTACGCCTAATTTTTAGCGCGGATTTTTAGTATTCGTATTGTCATCTGATAAAGTCATGCTGATTATAAGGTGTACAGTTTTCTCTGCTTTCAAATTTTTTTGTTTGAACCTGTCCTGGTTTTCTTACTTGTTTTTATATTTTGCATTTTTTTTATATTTTGAGGATGAGCAAATCAGGGGAGTGTATGTTCGTATGTTTTATTGCATTTTACTTATTATTTTGGGGGAAGGTTAACTTTCTGATAGTAAGTCCCGTCACGGTCAGGCTGGGAAACTGGGTAGGCAAATGCTCATATTAAATCTGTACCGATACAGTGTGTTAAATGTCCTCCCTAACACCATAAACCATGGTAGTGCTCCTATTAAAGGAGGAAGATACATAGCATACATACATTACAACCGGAAACTCCATGCGACATATACTATTGGTATCGGTATCGGATTCGACCCGGAACTTGTTAATTATTGGTAATATTAATTATGTGGAAAACAAAAGGGCCTGGAATGGTGTAATGTTTAATCTACACCATTGTCCTATATTAGTTATATATAAAGTTGATTTCTTTGATTCGTCGTTTTTTATGTCAAGCCGGGTAACAAATTGGACCTCGTTATTTTAGTAGTATAGATACCTGTGAGTACCAGAAAAAAGAGGAATCTCGAAGAACACCATTGAATGTTATCCGTCCACACAACAAATGATTTTTCTCGGAGGTATTCGGACTGCTGGTTGACGAAATGAATAAAAACCGATAAGCCATCTTTAACTTAGTTTCTTAAGTCTTTTACAGATTTTTATACAAAATGTCAGTGTTTCCGGTATTTTTACTAATTTAAAGCCGATTTTGAGGTCAAAGTACGTCATTATCAAGCTTACATTTCAAATTTGGATTTAATGACCATTATCAGAATGTATCATAGTAAAATCGATGATCATATAGGCAACAGGGGTATTTTGTTTTAAAATTTAAGCATCAACGGTCTTTTCAAAACGTCATAATTGGCATATAAACAACTTTTCAACATTTTTCATACTACCGACTATTGACACCCGAGTATATAATTTGTCGACAGGTTACATGTTCTGTGGTAGGAAATTCTGGTATTCGAACAAGTGGGGGCAACTAAAAGAAGTCAAATCAAGCTTACAATGGTGCAAATTGGGGAAAAATTTAACTTTTTTTCGATAATTTTGTCGTGTATAGAAAACATAAAGCAGTTAATTTGTCTCCCCAAATTGTACCGATGCTGAGCTTTATTTTGCTGCTTTTACACTGATGTCCCCTATCTTCCACTCAGTTGTTGGTTTAAACTCACATGATAAAGCCTGTCCCTTTCAAAACATGCGTGTATATTTTACCCACCAACAACTTCATATTAAATATGTAATTTTGCAGCAATTTGTGTTCAAAAATTTTATCCAGTGTTCTTTTTATCAGCACTTCCGCTTGATTTTCTGATATTACAATAATACATCGTCCTTGTGTTAGGGGTTATAATAAAAATGCTTACAGTAAATTGAATTATTTATATAGAAAACCTACAGTTTGATGGTTGTACAGTAGCTGGTCCCCTTGTTGTAGCTGGTAAAACGGATGGTGAAACAACAGGCGAGACATTACAAATCACACCAACATCTTCACTGTGTTGACAGTTTGACTGGTTCCAAGGTCGGGCTGTACATTGTTCAATATTGAGTTCGTTTCCCTGACAAGTTACATCGTCAAGCCAAATAGGACCAGTACCTTGTCCAAACCTTCCATCAGTTACAGCTACTCCACCATTCCTACATAGAGATAGTTATCAGGATTAATGGGGAGAATGTTATAATGTTGCTACAATCATGTTTTGGAACAATATCAGAGCTACGATGTAAGTGAAATACTTTGATATGATTTCTTCCATGTTTAAAGCCACTTTCTCCCCTCTCTCTCTCTCTCGACAGAAACATGATTTGTTTGACCGGTATAGATTATTCGTGATACGACGACCACAGCAATGTTCTACTGTTAACCCCCATCCCGTCCTCTTTTCTTCGAATTTGACTATCTAATGCGACTTATTACCGTACTTTTACGTACGCTAGCACGACGACGGCTGCCTCTAGTAGAACAGGGACTGCTTATCCTTCCGAGGCACCTGAGGTTCACCTCGGATCTTGTTGGGGTTGGTGTTGTTCAATATTTGGTGTTCTGTGTAATGTTTTGTTATTGTTGTTTGTATTTTCGTTGTTTTTCTTTTCAATGTTTTTATTGGAATTCTGATTTTGTATTAACCCCTTGGTATTTTCTGTCTTTAAAAAGAAAAGAAAAAAGAAAAGAAAAGGTACCAAAAATAAGAAATAATTCATAAATTTCCTTCTCCCTTCTCAGTAACTTCCGTGTACGTTCCTGATGCGATGCAAGCAGGCCAATTCATTTACAAAAGTACAATTCATCCACTCTGATAAAAAGATGTATGGCTACATTATGTTCAATCCAGGAAAAATTTATTTCCTTATATTTTGCAATGAAGAGTAAGTTGATTTACAGAGGTATCAGGAGGGTTGAAATAAAGTTACACCACTGTCTAAGGTTAGGAACAGAGTTGAGCGTTCACAAACATAGACACCCAGCAACATTTTATATGTGTCTGTCCAAAATCGAGCCTGCAATTCAGCAGCACAGCTTTATACATAAATTCCTTCCCAATCCAATAAATTGTCTCAAATCAATGCTTTCTGTTATACCTTTTATTGAATTGTACCTAAAAGTGTGTCGTGATAAACTTGGGCTTATAACTGACAACTGATTTAAAAAAAAGGGGAAATGTCCAAAGACATAACATTACCATTGATTTTTTGTTTACTCCTGTGTGCAGTGAACATTTTACATTCTTATTACCTATTTTTTAAATTTATATCTGAATGAATTTTATTAAAAATTATATCTTTACACAAATACATACTGAAATCCCAATTGTCGACAGACAACTGCAGCCGCAAGATCATCGAAGCGATCGTCACATACTGTTCCAGTGACGCCGTTCCTCGTGATTTCCACTCTACCTTGGGATCCAGAAGATCCAGTACCAGCTACATTGATGGTAGTTTGGCCTGAAAATATCATTCAACGTTTAACTGTTTCGTGTGGTCTTTTAAAAAGGGGAAAGTACTGTGAACCTGATTTCAGTACATTTTCCTCACCCTGGAACATTAGCTCAGCTGGTCTGAAAGGCCGTTAACTTCTTCCCATTTTCTTTTTTAAACCACTATAGATCAATTTTAACCAATCTTGGTATGAATGATGTATGGAAAATCTTCTATAGAATTTATTTGTTTCCGATCGGAGAAAAACATGGCCAACAGAGGTAGTTCTTTTTACAACCGGCACACGTTATATTGAGGGACTCGCAAAGGCTTTATGTTCTTGCGCATTTTTGTATTATTATTCTCAAACTTTCAACATATCAAGTCAGATTATTTATTTAAACAGCTTCAATAAACAAGTATGATGTAAAGTTACAAATGAAAATACCTACTTTTGACAGATATAATATTTTTTATGAAAGTTATTTTCCCCGTTTTTTTTAACACGGTTTCAGAGGATGATAAATGTAAAATAAAAATACTTTTTTCAGCTTAAATTATTCAAGAGAAAATCAAGTTACTTTTTGTCAAGGGAGAAAGATCAGAAATTAACCATAAAATGTAAGGTTAATGGCAAATAAGCCCATGTAAGGTTAATGGTGAATAAGCCGACAACTACCAAAAAAAATAACCGGCTAATGTTTGTATGGTGATTCATATTATTAGAGAATTTCGACACGGTATTATACATTACAACCCAGCAAGTTATTGTTTGATTAAAAGATTCATGGTGCAATTTAGCAGAGTAAATTTTTGAAGTATATTTATGCCCTTGGTATAAATCAGGTAAATAAATATTGATAAACATACATACATCTGTTGTTGTTTTCCTATTTTCCTATACAACCAATGCATTACTGTATTGATATTGAAGTTAATAATATGATACAAAAAGTACATGACCTTATAGCAAAAAGAATCCCCGCAGTCCAGGATTTTAAAATACAATTACCCACAATTTCGGCTTAATTTTAAGGAACGATAAATATTAAACCCAACACCTATGAAAACACGTTCTATTGGAGGTAAACTACAAACTAAAACAAGCATAAACAAGAGGCTCCCAATAGCCCGAATCGTTCACCTGGTAAAAAAAGCCAGTTTGGAATTTATGTTTACCTATATTGCAATCAGTTATGTTTGCTTATTTGTAAATCTTATTAAGTGATATTTTTGTAGATTTTTTATTAATGATCATTTTAGTGTTTACATTTCATACCTTTAGAAATAATTCGCAAAACTATAAAAAAAAAAAAGGTGAAAATTCCTTCATTTAAGGGCAATAAATCCTATCATAAGTCTTACAATTTTGCTGGCATGTTACTTGTAGATCTAATTTTCGAATCTCCTTAGAGTTTAAGTTTCTCTCAATCTACTATGATTATTTTACAAAAATGCAAAAAAAAAAGAACCGTAAAAAAGATCTTAATGTGCTGAACACTGTTACTATTTATTGTTCCTTTATATCTTTGATAGTTCCTGCGAAAAAAAAAAAGACGAAAAATGGGTAAAAAAAAAATAACATAAATACCGAACTCCAAGGGAAATTCAAAACGGAAAGTCCTTTATAAAATGGCAAAATCAAAAGCTCAAACACATCTCCCCTCTTATATCTTTCAATGGCAATTACTCCTCTAAGGGGCTAATTGAAAATTTCGACCGTTGATTTATTTGTTGATCTTATTTTGCTCAACATTTTTGCTATACATTGTTGTTCTCTATTTATTATAGTTTCTGCAAAAAAATGCATTACAATGGTGAAAATGATTATTCAACCGCAATATTAACAATATTAACTACTATAAGGAGACAGTTCAAAATTTCGGCCATCTTGACTCATTTGTATCTTATTGTGATTAATATCTGTGCTATTTTACAGTTTATCTCTATCTTTTGTGGTTTCTACAAAAAATGCAAAAATGGATAAAAATCGTCTTTCGGGGGGCAATAACTCCTTTAAGGAGTCAATTGACGATTACCATTTTCGTAGATAAAAAATTGCTGAATATTTTTGCACTTCACAAATTGCTGAATATTTTTGCACTTCACAATTTCTCTTTATCTAATATGGTTTCGGCTAAAATGGGTACACATCATCTTTCCAGGGAAATCAATCCTATATATATATATATATATATGGGATTTTTAAATTGGCGATTTAGATCGTGCTGACTTATTTGTAGATCTTATTTTGATGAGCAGTTTTACAATTTCTCTCTTTCTATTATAGTTTCTGCAAAAAATGCAAAACATAGGGGAAAAGGGGGAGAATCGTCTTTCAAGAACGGTAACTGACCATTTCGCCCATTATGACTTATTTTAAAATCTTATTTTCCTGAACATATTTACTTTAAAACAATCCTTCAATCTACTGTAGTATCCGCAAAAAAATGCAAAAACTGCGGGTTAAATTATCATTTAAAGACAACCGCTATAAAGGACCAATTGACGATTTCTGCCATATTTGACTTATTTGAAGATTTTATAATTCAGATCATGTTTACTGATTAAATTTTCTCTCTATTTATTATAATTTTCAAGATCATGACCAAAATTTTGAAAAATTGCTAACAATTGACATTTCAGGGGCAATAACTCCAAAATGGGTTGTCGGATTTTCTGACAATTCCACAGCAATGCCTGCTGATAATTTTACCCTGTCAAGTTTTGCAATGTAAGCCAAAAGCTGCGAAATTTGCTTGAAAGTGATATTTCAGAGGCAAATAAGGGTTGTCCGATTTTTTTTCAGAAAATTCCAAAAGAGATAGACATTGACCTGCTGATCATAGTTATCATGTGTGTTTTGCTGTAACTACTTTAGTTTTGAGATAGAAGCCAAAAACGACAGTTTATCCCATGTTCAATATTAACAACAGAAGCCATGTAAGTTGATCAGTGAATCAAATCTCTGGATACAATTTTCAAACTAGATTCCCCACGGAACATTCAAGTCAAGTTTTGTAACATTAGACCCAGTAGTTTCAGAGGAAATGATTTTTTTTTTAAATTTACGACGACGGACGGGTGGACGATGAGCTAAAAAGGAAATGATGTATTCAATTCAATTGGTACAACATTCAGTTGTTTCAAAGAAACATAATGTAAGTATATATGTAAATGTGGTAGCGGTTATCGATACGTGATAGTTAATAATATTTTAAAAATAAGTTTGCATATATAACGGCATAAGAACGGGTGCAAAAAGGTTTGATTGTATTGTTACTATTTATTTCATCATAAAACTGGTGTGGAGTGTTTAGAATCTAGGTTGACGATACTTAGGGAGAATTATTAGAATGTCTCCTTATTATTTAAAAGAAATTCTAATATTTCTCAATTTTTACGCAAATTATTTTAACAAAAAACTTGTTTAATAGTTTTTAATTTTTGTTTATAACGATTGTGTAAGATTACGTTGTAGGCCTATTGGTTGAATAGTTGCGATCATTCAAACAAACTTTGTCTATATGGGGGTCATCAGGGGACTAAATTCCTCACCTTTGATCCCTTTATGCTACATAGATGAAGAACAAATTATTAGCTTGTTATTCAGTACAAACGTATGATAATTATTACTTTATTGAATTTTATTCTTTGCCACAAATAAATATTTTTGTATTCAAATAATTATTTTTAAACCATGTAAAATGTAGTAATAACGGGTATATTAGGACATATTTTATATAAATATTAATATTTAATTCATGTATTAACACATCGTATCCTACACATGATTGCCAGGTATCAAAACATATATCATATATACGTAATAACATGCGTTGTTTAAAACGATTTAGAATATGATATGAATTAATCTGTCATCGACCTTTTATAATTAATATAAACTGGTTTATATATAATAATACAGACTATCTTATAAATAATCAGAATCAGTTTAAGAAAAAAAACTTACCTTTAACCTGGGAAAACGCTCCGTAAATTAAAATCAAATGGAAAATCTTATTCAAACCATTGTGTTTAAACATGTTCGATCGTTTAGAGATGTTCAACGCGATTAATTAAATACATGTGCACATTAGACCGATTCTTGGATCAATTCATTCTATTCGATTGTTTTTGTTTTTGAGTGGTGTTTCTTGAGTAATCCTCGAAATATTTGGGACAAGGCACGTGAAGTTCCGGAAGACGTAAAGTTGCTATGACGTCGGATGTAAACAAAAGGGCGGGGAAAATACAACATGGCGGCGCCCAGAGATCGCAGGTGACTGAAATCTGTTAATATTTGTCATTTGTTATTACCGTATATAATTGTCGTTTTTTTCAATTTATTTTCATAAATATATACTTAGATGCCAAACTGAGAGTATTATTTAAGCGTGTATAATTAAATAGGATTATTGTAACATTGTCCGCCGTAATGACAACTTGTTGATGCAGGAAACTATCTTCATAGGTAAATATTATGTACTAGTATTGATTTAAATGTTAGAAAATCGATAGTAATTCTTAATTTAGAAAACAGCAGTAAATTTGAAACGTATCATTTAAAATTATGGTATTTAAATTCACTAAACCATGAAACAGTTAAATGCACTAATCCCGTTTTACCAATGCACAATGTTGGTGTAAAATGGGGAAACATTCTATTTAGGTTTATTGCAGATTTTAATATGTAAAATCATCATAGTTTCTTTTGAATTTTAATTCAATGAAATATTACATACAAGTTGAAGAAATTAGACATTTGCGAGATAGTTCAAGTAAGAAATGAGTATTTAAAATCACACTGCGAATTTTTCATCCCTTCTTGCAACCTCTTGTAATATACACCTTATCGCTATTTGTCCGCCATTACTGGACATCACACAAGTTCCCGTAAAATTTTGACGTCATAATAGAAAATATCTGACGCCACAATGGAAAAGTGATTGTTGTATGACGTCAAAAGTTCGAGCGGGACTGATTCTCGGGTCAAGCGGGATTAGCGATAAGGTGTATTCTGGCAGTAGATATTTGTGCATATTTCACAGGATTATTGTCTCAAATATTGAATCATATTATAAGGTAAATGTTCATTAGATCATTACTTTTCAATTTTTAATGTTAACTTACATAAAAGTCACAAATAGAATAATTAAAAACAAACACATTTTAATTATTTTGAATTTGAGTATTCAGTAAACTAGTCATACATAAAGATCTCCCGTCTACGATTAGTATTAAATTTTACTCTACTGCGTAAACGGAGCATATCTGTATAATTTCAACGAAACTTCAGTCCTAAAGAAATTGGTGCTGGTTAAAAGTTTAAACAGGAAAGGTGTAAAATATTTTGAATTATTCAAAATTCAGACAAAATACTAAAAGGATTTTCTACCACAAGAATAGATTGCCATTGCTGTTTTTGGCGAAATCTTTCGATATTTTTGGCCCTCTTTGGTCTTCAACTTTATATTGTATTTGACCTTTTTTTTTTTTTTTTAACTTTTTTGATTCGAGCGTCACTGGTGAATCTTTTGTAGATGAATCGCGCGACTGGCGTACAAAATTATAAGCCTGGTATCATTGATGCGTTTATTTTAATTTTTTAATTATATTTCAATTTATAGATACAACTCAATAAAAAAGCGTCATTCTGAATCCTTTTGAATGCGACACATGGAAGGTAAAATGTTATTAACATGAGTGAGATGTATGATGATGACTTACTTGACTTTATCCACTTCGTCCCAAGGGGGACATAGGGCAACTAAAATGTATAATGTATAATGATAGAAACAATCATATTTGTTATGCTGTTTTTGGAAGAAGGCATTTGTAACACATTTAAATTGTCACTGTTTTAATTAAGCTTGTGCTGTTTATGTATACGTCATTTATTTAGTAACAATCCAATTTTGGGGATTTTAAACTAATTCTTCTTTTTTTTTTCTTTTTCATTTTATTCTGATTGTGAGTCCTTGGAAATGATAATGGAAACCATTTAAATTTAATGCCATTCATTTCAGGTGACCCTGATAGTTGATGATGATAAATACATATGGTTATTTTCCTGTCTTAATCACCATTCTTAACCTGGGAGTTATCGGTAAGTTTGATGATATTCGTTACATCATACGGAGTGTGTATTGTGCTGCATTTTTTTTTCTTCTGTTACTTTTCAAATTTAACTGTTGCTTATACAAAATAGAGATGCATAACTATTTTTCCAAAATATAAATTTGCCTTGAAAAAGTTCTTGTTAGAGGGATGAATTTAGTAAGAAGATTTAACAAAAAAATCTTTTTTAAGACCAAAGTTTAAACTGGATCAAATGGGAAATTGATTCCGTCCTCTGAAATTCTTTACCAGACTCGGGCGGAATGAATCGCAAGTATTTCATGATGTAACGACAGCTCTAATATCACCTTTTAGTTAGTACAACGAGCAGTCCAATTGACTAAACATTTCAGCCTTTCTGTCATTTTCTTCTCTATTTATCCACTGTTTTATTGCTTTACCCTTTGCTATATCATAAATCTACGTGAAAACTTGAAACCCATTTTTTTTAAACAAATAAAATTTTACATTTATATGTCTGTCTTTGTATTGTGTATGAAAAATGGGTAAATGATTCATTACCGAAAAGCGTTTAATTTATTCTTTACGGCCTTTTTATAGTTGAACAAAACTTATTTTCTTTATAACACTGATGTTTTGGAAAACATAATTTCTATTACGCAAAATAATTTTACAAGCTATGAATACAAAATACATGAATAATGATAAACACATTTAATGATCACCATAAAGAGGTATATATCACCTAGGACGATTTTCGCCAGAAGTGTTATACACTCGTTTATATTGCGTCGCTTTTAAATATGTACCGACAAATGTAAAGCCGCCTATATTTAATGAAAAGTTTGTAATTGTTTGCGCGAAAAGAATGGTGACGTTGTGGAGATGAAAGCACTAGCAGTTGTCGATGAAGTTACATGTATCTCTGGTCACTGGAATGAAAGTTCCTTCTTATTTCAAAACAAACAATTATAGATTTGACACTGAGGTATTTCTGACTCACAAGACATATATATGTACTTTGAACGATAAAGGTAATTTTTACATTCAATACATGCTACCTCATATATATTTTCATTCCTTTTTATATGCAGCTCATTACATATAAAACGTAACTCGGCGTCTCCGACCATCCTGTATATTAATAGAGTGCTTACAATATCTATTGTCCATATCGATTCTTTTTTATATTAATCTTTTCAATTGCTAACTGATGACCACTAAATCTAAATTGAGCCAAGCTTTTTTGATTTTTGAATTGACTTAAATATGATGATTTCCATTTTGAAGCTTTCTCTGAACTGATATAAGTACGTATTTTTTTTCAGTAAATCATATATCTGCTGATTAAAACATTTTTAACAGTTTCAATTTCAAAAGATTCTAAATCAACACCAAGGCATCTTAAAACATATACAATACTAGAACATCAAGATGACTTATTACATTCTTGAAATCAGGATTTGTTTTAACAAATGATCATATTTTAGTTTTTATTTGTTTTGGAAAACTTTTAGAGCGGAAAAAATTATTTCAAAATTGCATTCAGTGCGACCGAACTCTCTCTAAATTACATGATTTTTTTTAATGTACACTACATCTAGAATGAATTTGTAGAACTTTTTACATAACGAAATTGAGCTTTCTAAATTTATTTTCAATTTCTAAAAGATTGTCTTGTCTCTCTGATCTTTCGATATATTAAAATTACGATAACCTCAAATATGTGAGCAATAAGAAAGTTGAAAAAAAGTCTTAAGTTTTCAGAAATATGAAAAAATAAAGACTATTTTAACTTACACAAACGATGTCTTTGACAATGAATTGGTAGTTTACAGTCGCTTCAGACGTCCTTTGTTGTACCTAAGAACCCGCTTGACAACTTTTATAAGTCCAACGATGCCATTGACAATGAATTGATAGTTTGCAGTCGCTTCAGACAACCTTTTTTGTATTTTAGATATCACTTGACAACTTTTATAAGTCCGAGATGTAATGTAATTCGCCCATTTTAATTTCAACAATACAGTTAAATTCATTTTGATAGCCAAATTTGGTCATCCGTTGTCTTAAAAATATCTTTAGCTTTTGACATGCCAAAATTTGAGAAATCACCGCTCACAAAAATAAGTGCCAACAGACTTCAAAACAGGGAGGTATATCAAACTCAACATTTCAGCTTCATATAGAAGAGGAGGAAGTACATTTTCTTTTATTTTCACCCCTACATAAACCCAATGAGAAAAGTTTCATATTAGGTATAATAAATTTAACCCAGAAAACGTGGTGAATGCTAGACATATCTTCACTTAAATGAACTAAGCTGTTGATGCCCAGAACAAAACTTACGGTCGGTTGGTAACTTTGTGGGTATTACTAAATACTACTAGTACTAGTATGTCAATTTTAGGTTATACATTTGGAACATTCCAGCAGCGTCTGTATTTGGAGTGTGTATCTCTCCCGGTTGATACGATATTCCAGAGCTTTGGGTTCCTATCGATAGAGGGTTTCTACTAATAAGGAAGATATTGAACCAAGGGTTTCAAGTCGTAAAGTTGAAGTCATCCCTTCTAAAGTTTAACGGACGCAATCACGAATTGGTAGGCAGTTATGGAATATATATGTGTCACAGATGACCACAGATATGATTCTATTGTGGTAACCACAATCTGTCCTCTTTTCCTCGATTATGAAATCACCGAATGAGACTTATCACCGAATTTGTACTTACCATAAGCAAAATAACTGGTGTCTCAAGTGGATCAGGATCTGTCTACTCTTCCGGAGCACCTGAGATCAGCCCCAGTTGTTGGTGGGGTTCTTGTTGGTTTTTGTTTTTTTATGAATTGTTTTGTGGTCTTGTTTGTCTTTTTGTCGTCTTTGTTTTTTATGTTAGTTTCCCTTCGACTTATGAGCTTTGAATGTCCGCTTGCCCTTGGTATATTCCACCGTTTTTTACATTGGATTATGTTTATTATTGTTTGTGCATTATCCAATATTTGAATCTTTATTAAATGGTAAAAAAGTGACCTAATTTTACTGTTAGTTTTCAGTCTGAGTCAAAATACGAAGGTGGTAAATTTTCATTGTGAAATTGAAAATATGAATATATGATTACTACCTCCTTAATTTTAAAATCTATGAAAATGTACATGTATGTGCCATTTCATTTCACTTCGTGATTGAAAAAAAAACCAGAATTTACTTACGTAGTTTTGGAGTTTTCAAGTTTAGACCTGTTGATTGGCATGTGCTTGTTCCCCATTCATCTGGATGGCCATGTTATTACTGATGACCTGACTATTGTCTACAACCATTCTCTGCAAAATGTTTTAACCAAAAGGCCGAAATACAGTGAGCATAAATTTATAAATGGAAAACACAACTTTGAAATATTAATGGATTCAGTCGTGGGTTATACCAGGTAATGAGATAAACGTGAAAAAGAAGACGTGGATACTCTATCAGGTTGTGTTACAACTCTGCATGAGAGCGTTGATACTTATCTGAATTTTCAAAAAAGGGGTCGATGTAAGTATGATCATGCTGCATTTATCTTCAAAGACCTGAATGTTGCTAAACACATGTCCTACCTCCATGATTGACAAACATAGTATTGTACACACAGACAAAGCCCACACCAACATTGTTTTTGTTTGTAAATAATATTATATAAACTGCTTGATAAAGGAATCAAGTATTGATAATTCAATTTGTTCTACTTTTTTGCCGACTTGTTCCTATTATCATATGAGGTAGACTTCATACAGGTGCTCCTGGGGTGAAATAAGATAGAAGCTAGCATGCTCCTTTAACTTCACGTTCAACTATACAGATGATCGGTTGAAACTGCAAAACAAAATAGACGAGTTTAGATTTAATTTATATGTTGCAACATTCCAGCAGCGTCTGAAGATGACATTTGATAATCGTTGTCACGTGAACAGATGACCACGGATATATGTTCGAATTGTCGTTACCCCATCCAAGTCCTCTTTTCCTTGATATCACCGAATGGGATCTTCACCGAATTTTTATTTGCTAAGAGTAACACGATGGGTGCCTCTGGTGGAGCAGGATCTGCTTACCATTCTGATGCACCTGATATCAACAACGTTTTTTGCTGGGGTTCGTGTTTCTCAGTCTTTAGTTTTCTATGTCGTGTTTTTCGGACTGTTGTTGATCTCTTAGTGTTTTTTTTTCGGGTCTTTTTTTTGCTATGGTATTGTCTGCTTTTCTTAGACTTATGATTTTTATTGACCCTTTTGTGTCTTCTGCCTCTTTTTTAAATCTTCATATTGTCTTTGTTATAATTATTTTTATATGTATTTTCTAGAAATCGTCTAACTTATAATGTAAGAGTATAATGAGAGAATTATCTTTATTGAAACTCAACCGTGGATCTTTCAGGGACGCGATGACAGAGACCGTTATTTACTATCATTTTATTTCAGTTGTGTTTTTTGAGAGAAAACATAGGCAAGCGAGAACAGGATTTATTTTAATTTGTATAACTGATCTCCTGTTAGCAAACATTCGATTTGGGACAAGGTACCACTACCAAACAGTCTGGGAAAACACGATTTATTTATTTGTTGTTATTGGTTTGAATTAGCATTCAGAAACTGCAAGTACTCTTAGATCGGCACTTTTTTCTTTTGTCTTTATGGTAGTTATTTTTGTGCTACGTGCCGATCTGATGTGTCTAACCATTACCAACTGATTTTTATAGTTTGTTCTTATGTTGTGCTGTTTCACTACTGTCTCAGGTTAAGGAGGTTTGAGCACTCACACATATGTTTAGCCCGCCACATTCTATATGTGATTGTCTCAAGACCAGAAGCCTAGCTGTAATTCAGTGGTTGTCGTTGGTTGCTGTCTGTCATTATAAAAAAATAAGAAAATGTGGTATGATTGTCAATGAGACAACTTTCCACCAAAGTTCATATGAAGTGGAATATATATTTGTTTTTCGTTTCATTTTATTATTGTCATAAATCAGGCCGTTTGATTTTTTGTTTGGAT